AGGGACCTCAGAGGTCCTCTAGTCCACCCCACTACCCCCCTCCACCCCGCTCGAACAGGAAAGCCTGCTCGATGCTCCCCTTTCCCTTCGAGCTGAGATTCAACAGGGAAAGTTTGGAGAGCTTTTTTGCCCGGGCTCCCAAAAGGGAGGGGGAGCCTGCGGGGGACGTGGCTGCTCAGGGCGGAGGGTCCTTGGATGGGAGGAGGTGCCAAGCGCAGGAGGACCCCTCCCCCTTCCCAGGGAGGCTGGCCCTGAGGGCTCCAGCCCGCCGGCCTGGTTAGACCCGGCCTCTCTCCTTGGCCTCCTTTCCCTCCAGCGCTCGCTCACCGCGATCTTGCGGGTGGTCTTCCAGCCTTTGGTCTGGTCCGAGAGGTCACAGGAGGTCATGAGGAGGCACAGGAGGAGGCTGTGGTGCTGCTTGTTGGCTGGGTCATAGCCAACTACAAAAGGGGGGGGGAAGAAGAGGAGGAGGAGGAAAGGAGGAAAGGGAGAGAGAGAGAGAGAGAGAGAGAAGGAAAGAGAAGGGAAGAGTAGGAGAAAAAGTGGGAGGGAGGGAGGAAGGGAAGGAAAAGAAAAAAAAGGAAGGGAAGAAAAAGAAAGGAAGGGAAGGAAGGGAGGGAGGGAGGAATGAAGGAAAGAAGGAAGAGAAAGAAAGAAAGAAAGAAAGGAAGAAAGAAAGGAAGGAAGGAAGGAAGGAAGGAAGGAAGGAAGGAGGAAGGGAAAGGAGGAAGGGAAAGGAAGGAAAGGGAGGGACGAAGGGAGGGAGAGGAGAAAAGGAAGGAACGAAAGAACAAAGGGAGAGAGGGAGGAAAAAGGAAAAGGAAGGGAGGGAGGGAGAAAGAGAGAAAAAAAGAAAGGAGGAAGGGAAAGGAAGGAGGGATGAAGGGAGGGAGAGGAGAAAAGGAAGGAACAAAAGAATGAAGGGAGGGAGGATGGAAAGGAGGAAAAAGTAGGAGAAGGAAGGAAGGAAAAGAAAGAAAGAAAGAAAGAAAGAAGGGAAAGGAAGGAGGGATAAAGGAAAGGAGAGGAGAAAAGGAAGGAACGAAAGAATGAAGGGAGGGAGGATGGAAAGGAGGAAAAAGTAGGAGAAGGAAGGAAGGAAGGAAAGAAAAAAGAAAGAAAGAAAGAAAGAAAGAAAGAAAGAAAGAAAGAAAGAAAGAAAGAAAGGGAGGTGAAGGAGAAGATAAAGCAATACAGAGAGAAGGGGAAAAAAGAAGTATATTTGCCTAAATGCACCTAATGCAATTTTCATCCTTGCCTCAGAGATCGCCCCTACTTGATGAACAGACCCAGCGCCCGACACAAAATCTATTCTTTTGGGCATCCTCCTTTTCAGGATCAGTCTCCCTGCTTTCGGGATCGTCGGAACATGGTCCAAACGCGTCTCCCCCCCCCCCGAGAGAAACTTCCTTCAAAAAATAATAATAATAATAATAAAGTTGGAAGGACCTTGGAGATCATCTAGTCCAACCCCCTGCTCAGGCAGGAAACCCTATACCATTTCGGACAAATGGCTGTCCAGTCTCTTAGAATAGAATAGAGTTGGAAGGGACCTTGGAGGTCATCTAGTCCAACCCCCTGCTCAGGCAGGAAACCCTACACCATTCCGGACAAACGGCTGTCCAATTGATTCCGTAGTTAGTAAATATCCACTTTTCTCCTGGTTGACTTCATTTCTGAGCTGTCATTTCAGACGTGACTTGTTCTAAAAATACGCAGGCAGTCCTCGGCTTACGACCATCAGAAACATGGTTGTAAAGCAAGTCTGGCTTCCAAGCTGGCTTGTCAGAAGGTCACAAAAAGGGATCACGTGACCCCACGACCATCGTAAGTACGCGCCGGTTGGCGAGCATCTGCCCCGTGACCCCCTGGGGATGCTGCCACGGTCGTAAGGGTGAAAACGGCCATAAGTCACTTTTTTCCGTGCTGTTGTAACTTCCAACGGTCATTAAACAAATAATTGCAAGTGGAAGGCCACCTTCTCATCACAAACACACTCACAGGCATTGTTGATTGTTATATAACTAATGTCAATGCAGGTAATGCTATTTTGAACCATTTGATGGCTATTTTCTAGTACGTGATTGTATTTTGATAAGATTATTATGCATGTGATGATTATTACATCTTAATACTTGTATACCTAGACAACCCACTGTTCAATGTAGAAATGGGATTTTAAAAATAATAATAATAATACAAAAAATTAAAAACAACAACAACTGAGTTCCACTTGAGGAAACCCATATCTGAGGAGCTTGTGTGTAGAGATGTGTTGGTCCAGGTTGTGTCCGGGAAACAAACACACCTTTTTGTCCTTTAGGGATTGGGTGAGGTCCTTCCAGATCTGCCCACCCCTGAAGAAGGACCTCAATTTGGGAAGGACGGGGTGCCCCGCTTTACCGTCGGCCATCTTCTGCAGGTCTTTGAAGATCCTCAAGTGATGGGCCAGGTCGGTGGCCAGGATGATGTCCCTCATCAGATCCAGCATCCTTTGGTAATCCTGTGGGATCAAGCGGTCTCTGCTTCACCGTCTTTCACTACTACGTGATCGAGAGAGGCTGCCCCTGGCCCAAAGGGGGGCACCTGAGCCGGAGGCCCCTCTAAGAAGTCCCAGGTGGGACTCTGAAACTCCATCAGCAACTTGGAGAAGGTGGTGGAACAGTTTGGGGGCAACAACTGGATCTTCGGTGACCAAAGACCCCCTGGGCAATTTGGGAACTGGGCCTGATCGAAGTGCAAGGTCTCTCGGCCTTCGCAACTTTAAAGAGGGGTGGACTTCAACTCCCAGAATTCCCTAGCCAGAAAGCTTTAAGATGGGTGGACTTCAACTCCCAGAATCCCCCAGTCGGCACAGGTGGACTTCAACTCCCATAATTCCCAAGCTGGCATGCTTTAAAATGGGTGGACTTCAACTCCCAGAATTCTCCAGCCAGAATACTTTAAGGTGGGGGGAATTCAACTCCCAGAATCCCCCAGTCAGCACAGGTGGACTTCAACTCCCAGAATTCCCCAGCCAGCAAGGGTGGACTTCAATTCCCAGAATTCCCAGCCACCAGAGCTGGACTTCAACTCCCAGAATCCCCCAGCCAGCAAAGAGTGGACTTCAATTCCCAGAATTCCCAGCCACCAGAGCTGGACTTCAATTCCCAGAATTCCCAGCCACCAGAGCTTGACTTCAACTCCCAGAATCCCCCAGCCAACAAGGGTGGACTTCAACTCCCAGAATTCCCAGCCACCAGAGCTGGACTTCAATTCCCAGAATTCCCAGCCACCAGAGCTGGACTTCAACTCCCAGAATCCCCCAGCCAGCAAAGGGTGGACTTCAACTCCCAGAATTCCCAGCCACCAGAGCTGGACTCCAACTCCCAGAATCCCCCAGCCAGCAAAGGATGGACTTCAACTCCCAGAATCCCCCAGCCAGCAAAGAGTGGACTTCAACTCCCAGAATCCCCCAGTTAGCACACCCCAGACTACCTGGGGAGGGGATCCAAACAAGTCAAGGCCGTATCTGTCCCTGTGTGCCATCAAAACAAAACCCTGACCCCTTTTTGGCAGCCCCCTCCTCAATTCCCCCCCCCCCGGTGGAGGAGAGGGGGTGTCCGAGCCTGTCTGGGGGCTCACCTTGCGGGAGAAATGGTCGAAGATGTTGCAGCCGTGCGTGTTCAGGATGGCGATGGCCTGGGCAAAATGGTGTCTCTGCGACAAACAAACACAACCACAGAGATGGAGAGGAATCGATTTGCATCGGGGGACTCACACAGCAATCCTTTGGAAGTGTGTAACCAGCCCGTGCAAGAGCATCATCAGTGCGTGACACAGACTCAGGCCGTCCTCAACTTACGACCGCAACGGAGCTTCGGAGAAGAGCTTGACTGCCTCTTCTGTGGGGCAGCCCCTGAGATACTGGAAGGCTGCTCTCCTGTCCCCCTTCGTCCTTCTCGTCGTTAAACGAGACATTCCCTCATTCCTGCCACTGTTATTCCTATATTTTATCCTTTATCGCTTCTTGTCCTGCCTTCAGGTGCTTTGGAGAAGAGGTGGACCCCCATGTCTACAACTCTATGTTCTAGTGCAGTGGTTCTCAACCTTTTTAATGCCGCGACCCCCCAACCGGTCGTAGGTCGAGGACTACTCCACCAGTCGTAAGTCGAGGACTGCTCAACGGGTGCAGCCCCGTTTGCAGAATGGGACTTTTGGCAGGCTCAGCAGGGCAGAGACAGCCTGGACAATTCCTATGGGCTTTTGAAAGCCAATAGAATCAGACTCTAGTCAAGAGAGTCTATTCTATTGGCTTTCAAAAGCCAATAGAAGAAAAGGGAGTAGCACAGCTAAGGAAAAGGGGGGAAAAAATGGCGGACTGCGTTGTTTGGCGACCCCCGTGAAATGGACCAAAAGGGGACCGACCCACAGGCTGAGAACCACTGGTCTAGTTGTCCTCCTATTCCAGGGGTCTTCAAATGTGGCTCTTTTATGACTTATGGACTTAAACTCCCAGAATTCCTCAGCCAGCCATGCTGGCTGAGGAATTCTGGGAGTTGAAGTCCACAAGTCACAAAAGGGCCACATTGGAAGACCCCTGTCCTATTCCATACAAAACGAGTCGATCCTTCTTGGCTGTGGGGCTGATCCCCATCTTCCTTTACCTCCATCACGGATCCTTCGGAACTGTACAAAGCCGCCAGGACGGATTTCTGGAAGAGAGAGAATGGAGACAGGTCTCATTGGCGGGGTCTAGCTATGGGCGAAGGAGACCCCCGAGGGGTAGGGGGTGGCTGAACGAAAACAGAGCAGACAATGGGATGGGTGGGAATGGCCCTAAGTTGGCTAGAATCGGAAGCTTCTCCGGAGTTTTTCTGCATCTCTTTAAGGCAGGGGTCTTCAAACTTGGTCCTTTGATGACTTCTGGACTTCAACTCCCAGAATCCCCCAGCCAGCATGCTTTAAGATGGGTGGACTTCAACTCCCAGAATTCCCCAGACAGCATGCTTTAAGATGGGGGGACGTCAACTCCCAGAATACCCCAGCCAGATTGCTTTAAGATGGGAGGGCTTCAACTCCCAGAATTCCCCAGCCAGGATGCTTTAAGATGGGGGGACTTCAACTCCCAGAATACCCCAGACAGGATGCTTTAAGATGGGGGGACCTCAACTCCCAGAATTCCCCAGCCAGGATGCTTTAAGAAGGGTGGACTTCCTCCCAGAATTCCCCAGCCAGGATGCTTTAAGATGGGGGGACTTCAACTCTCAGAATTCCCCAGCCAGGGTGCTTTAAGATGGGGGGATTTCAACTCCCAGAATCCCCCAGCCAAGATGCTTTAAGAAGGGTGGACTTCAACTCCCAGAATTCCCCAGACAGCATGCTTTAAGAAGGGTGAACTTCAACTCCCAGAATCCCCCAGACAGCATGCTTTAAGAAGGGTGGACTTCAACTCCCAGAATCCCCCAGCCAGGGTGCTTTAAGAAGGGTGGACTTCAACTCCCAGAATCCCCCAGCCACCAGAGTTGGACTTCAACTCCCAGAGTTCCTGAGCCAGCATGGGTGGACTTCAAGTCCCAGAATTCCCAGCCCCCCCCCCCAGAGCAGCCCCCCCAACCTTACCGAGGCCACCTGAAAAGAATTGTTGGTGCCTCGGTGGTCCAGGTCGTGGCACATGCAGGAGACGAACAGGGCGAAGATTTCAATGTCTCTGCGGAGAAGAAAAAGATCGGAGGGCATCAGTTCCGGGCTGCATGAACAGAGGGACGGCATCAGGATCACGAGAAACGCTGGCCAAGCGGAACAGAGAGGGAAGGGGACCTTGGAGGTCATCTAGCCCAGCCCCCTGCTCAGGCGGGAGACCCTGTCTCATTTCAGACAAAGGGCTGTCCAGCCTCTTCTTAAAAACCTCCAGGGATGGAGCACCCACAACTTAGTAGTAGTAATAATAATAATAATAATATAATAATGATAATAATAATGATAATAATAATAACAACAAAACTTGGAAGCCACCTTGAAGATCATCTAGTCCAGCCCCCTGCTGCTCAGGCAGGAAACCTGATTAAAACTGATTAATTAATAGAATCACAGAATTGGAAGGGACCTTGGAGGTCATCTAGTCCAGCCCCCTGCTGGAAACCCTATACTTCTATAGGGTCTATAACCCTATTGTTAGCCACCTGGAGTCTGCGGGAGTCGGGCGGTCTATACATTTTAATAAATAAATAAATAAATTAACAGAATCACAAGAGTTGGAAGGGACCTTGGAGGTCATCTAGTCCAGCCCCCTGCTGCTCAGGCAGGAAACACTACACTTCTGGAGGCAAGTCGTTCCACTGATTAATGAACAGAATCACAAGAGTTGGAAGGGACCTTGGAGGTCATCTAGTCCAGCCCTCTGCTGCTCAGGCAGGAAACGCTATATTTCTGGAGGCAAGTCGTTCCACTGATTAATGAACAGAATCACAAGAGTTGGAAGGGACCTTGGAGGTCATTTAGTCCAGCCCCCTGCTGCTTAGGCAGGAAACCCGGCCTCGACCATTCTGGACAAAGGGTTGCCCAACCTTCTTCTGACGACCCCTGGCGTACATTAAGCCCCCTCCATCCTGCCCACTTACTCCAGATAGTTGACGAGCTCCAGGTTCTTGTAGAGCAGGTAGCAGAAGTGGGAGACGGAGAAAGCGTGCGTCCAGTTGTGATACGGAGGGTCCCGGTACCCCTTTTTCACCATCAGGCAGAACCTGAGTAGAAGGACCAAAAGAAAAAACGAAAGAAAGAAAGAAAGAAAGAAAGAAAGAAAGAAAGGAAGGAAGGAAGGAAGGAAGGAAGGAAGGAAGAAAGAAAGTAAGTAAGTCAGCAAGGCCTTATTGACGCCCCCCCCCAATTGAAGTCTCCTTAAGGGGTCCCTTTCTTGCTGGGGTTCCCAAACTTACCTGACTAGAGTCTGACGGTCGATTTTGTAACTGCTGATGAAATTCATGTCCTGGAGCATGCTCAGAATGGCCTGTGGGGAAAAGAAAGAAAGAAAGAAAGAAAGAAAGAAAGAAAGAAGGAAGGAAGGAAGGAAGGAAGGAAGGAAGGAAGGAAGGAAGGAAGGAAAGAAAGAAAGAAAGAAAGAAAGAAAGAAAGAAAGAAAGAAAGAAAGAAAGAAAGAAAGAAAAATGAGTGGAAGGGAAAGGGTTGATGGGGAAAGAGTCTTCCTGTTGGCAATGGCCAGATTGAAACCTCTGCCCCCCCCCCCCGCCAACATTGTGGCAATGTGGAAGACTGTTGTGATTGCGAGGAGTTGTGACATAGTTTTGATGCCCATTCTCCCCAATCTTGCCCTCTGCTCCCTTTCTCACCCTCTCCCTCCTTCCCTCCTCCTCTTCCTCCTCCCTCTGCCTTTCCCTCTCCACTCCCTCTCTCCCCACTCTTCCTTCTCCTCCTCTTCTTTCTTCTTCCTCTCCCAGCCTTTCCTCTTTCTCTGTCTCCAATCTCTCTCCCTCCCCTCTCTTCCTTCTCTTTCTCCTCCCTTCTCCTCCTTCTTTCTCCTCTTGTTCCTCTTCCTCCTCCTCCCTCTGCCTTTCTCCCTCTCCTTCTCCATTCCCTCTTCCTCTTTCTTCTCCTTCTTTCTTTCTCCTCCTCCTCCTCCCTTCTGTCTCCTTCCTCTCCTTCTCCATTCCCTCTTCCTCTTTCTTCTCCTTCTTTCTTTCTGCTCCTCCTCCTCCCTTCTGTCTCCTTCCTCTCCTTCTCCCTTTTTCTCCTCCTCCTCCCCCTCTCCTTTTCCTTTCCCTTTTCCCTACTCCCTTCCTTCCTTCCTTTCTCCTCTTCCTCCCTTCTTTGTCTCCTTCCCCATCTCAGAGGACACTGAAACGACAGCTTATGCAGAATGTACTGCCCCTGTGACCACGGTTACATGGACAGTCTCGTGGCTACTAGTGGCCTTGTCGGTGGGAGCGCAGATGCTGGTGGCCACAGACAAGGATCGCTTCTTCTGCTCTTGGGCCTGCCCAGGTTCTGGATAGCCCTGACCTTCCTGGCCTTGAGGCCCTTTTCCCCCCCACCATGTACTCAGCTCAGCTTTCCCCTGCAGCTGCTGAGGGGTCTGCGTGGGTGGCAGTTCTGGGTGCAAAAGGCTTTTATGGGTTGATTATTTGATCCTTGATGTTTTTCAACCTACATGGCCTCCCCTGTGTCCCTTGGCAGAGGAGAGTACGTAAAAATCAATCAGTCAATCAATCAGTGAAGAATGAATGAATGAATGCATGCATGAATCAATCAATCAATCAATCAATCAATGAAGAATGTATGTATATATGAATGAATGAATGAATGCATGAATGAATCAATCAATCAATCAAAATTAATCAATCAATGAAGAATCTATGTATGTATGAATCAATCAATCAATCAATCAAGCAGTCAATCAATGAATCTATGTATGTAATGAATGAATCAATCAGTCAGTCAGTCAATCAATCAATGAAGAATGTATGTATGTATGAATGCATGCATGCGTGCATGAATCAATCAATCAATCAAAATCAATCAATCAATCAATGAAGAATATATGTATGTATGTATGTATGAATGAATGAATCAATCAGAATCAGTCAATGAAGAATGAATGTATGCATGCATGCATGCATGAATCAATCAATCAGTCAATCAATCAATGAAGAATGTATGTATGTATGAATGAATGAATGCATGCATGAATCAATCAATCAATCAATCAGTCAATGAAGAATGTATGTATGTATGTATGAATCAATCAATCAATCAATAAGTCAATCAGTCAATGAAGACTGAATGTATATATGAATGAATGAAAGCATGAACGAACGAACGAATGAATCAATCAATCAATGAAGAATGAATGTATGAATGAATGAATGAATCCACCAGCCAGGCAACCAATCAACCAATCAATCAATCTTTTCAGGTGCTTCAAGCAGCCAAACCAGATCAATCAATCAATCAGTCAATCAATCAATGAAGAATGTATGTATGTATGAATGAATGCATGCATGCATGAATCAATCAATCAATCAATCAGTCAATGAAGAATGTATGTATGTATGTATGAATCAATCAATCAATCAATAAGTCAATCAGTCAATGAAGACTGAATGTATGTATGAATGAATGAATGCATGAACGAATGAATCAATCAATCAATGAAGAATGAAAGTATGAATGAATGAATGAATCCACCAACCAGGCAACCAATCAACCAATCAATCAATCTTTTCAGGTGCTTCAAGCAGCCAAACCAGATCAATCAGTCAATGAAGAATGTATGTATGTATGTATGAATCAATCAATCAATCAATCAGTCAATGAAGAATGTATGTATGTATGTATGAATCAATCAATCAATCAATCAGTCAATCAGTCAATGAAGAATGAATGTATGTATGAATGAATGAATGCATGAACGAACGAACGAATGAATCAATCAATCAATGAAGAATGAATGCATGAATGAATGAATGAATCAACCAACCAGCCAACCAATCAATCAATCTTTTCAGGTGCTTCAAGCAGCCAAACCAGGATTAACGCTCACCATTGATGTGTCGTCCTCAGGAAGGGATCGTGGCGTGTAGGTGAATTTGGCAAAGTCCGGATCGAAGTCCGAAACCGGGGTGATCCCTTCATGGAGAAGCTTGGTGTGCTCATCCTCAGAGACCTGGAAGAGAAAAGGGGGTCCATGTTTCCAAAATGGAGGGGGGGTCTTCTTCTTTCATCTCATTTTTATTCATTCTGGCGCAGCCTCCGGCTCCAGGTTGGGACCCCCCAAATTATTCTTCTGACAGGCAGGGATCGTTCATTTAGCTCAGTGTTCCTCAACCTTGACCATTTTAAGGCGTGTGGACTTCAACTCCCAGAATTCCACAGCCAGCATTGCTGGCTGTGGAATTCTGGGAGTTGAAGTCCACACGCCTTAAAATGGTCAAGGTTGAAAAACACTGGTTTTTATTTTAGCCTGTAGGATTACCTTCATGTGATACATCATCATCTCGTTGGCCAAGTGACTCCGGTACTGAGCCTCACGGACCTTCTTGTAGAGCAAGGACTGCGAGAAGAAAAAAAAGAAGATTTAGTCCAGTGGTTCTTAACCTGGGCGATATCGCCCTCCCAGGGGGTGATTTTGTTTTTCAGGGGGGCGATGGAACGAAAACGGGCGATGCGGGGTCGAAGGATCGAAAAGGGGGCGATATGGGGGCGATGGAGCGAGAAGTTTGGGGGACACTTTTGAGACGTTTTCGTACAGTGAATCGCTGCCTATCTGTCGTGCGAAAACATCCGATCGCTCGCTCTTAGTGGATTGAATTGTGTTTTCCAATGTTCCTCCAGCTAGCTTCAGTAGATATGTGAAGACGCATCGCTTATCTTCATGCGCGTGGCGCAGCAGCCTCTACCCTTTTTATATTTCTTTTTGCGTCTTAAATTTCACTTGTAATTCAATCATTAAATGTTACTGTTTTTCTTTTCGGGCCTTTCACTTTCTTGCCACTGAATTTTGTTTTCAACGTGGTCATTCCATTGAAGTGTCTTGAATAAATAAGATAATAACGAAATACACGTATCACGAAGTTTGGGAGTAAAGTGACGGGTGGCACCAAAGTTTTTCAAACAGTTGAGATCTGGGGAAAAGACTGGAAATAAATTATTTGCATCGATACGTCCTGATGACAATTTTAAAGAAAACAAAAAAAGGGTTTGCATAAATCGAAGAATTATTTCCTATGTTGTGATTGAGAGGTTATGTTGGGGAGGGGGGCAATGACAACTTCCTCATTGGCTCAAGGGGGCAATTTTTTTCAAAAAGGTTAAGAACCACTGATTTAGTCGGTCCATCCTGGAGCACGCAACTTCTCTACGGGAGATATTAATGAAAGTTAATGTTCAGGGCTTCCCCCCCCCCCCCCGAAGCCCTCTTCCACAAACTTCTTTGCCAGCTTCAGTCGGGGTGCATTGGGGTTACAGGTCCCCAAAGTTCCCCAAAGGTCAGCGGAAGCGTCTGGTCTGCACCGGGATAAGGGCCCAGAGGCGTTGGGGGAAAAAAGAGAATAAAACCAGCGTACGTGGGCGATGCTGATGCCGCAGTAGATGGAGAAGGCGGTGGCCAGGTCCTCGTCAAATTTGCTAAACCAGGGCCCGTTGATTTTGTTAACCAGCTCGGCCACGCCAATCACCTCTGCAGGACGAGAGGAGATAAAGGGTGAGGAAGAGGATGGTGATGGAGGAGGAGGAGGAGGAGGAGGAGGAGGAGGAGGAGGAGAGATAGGGCTGCTGGCTATGAGCTAGCCCTGTAATGCAGCTGCAGAAACGATGCCAGTTTTGGGCAGAGTCCTCAGAAAAGCTGTTTTTCTGAACCAAGAAACGGTTGAGCTGAATTCCTGCACTGGAAGGGCTCAGGCTGCAGGTAAATAAAGTGGCAGCTTTAAACTGTGGCAACTTTACGACAGGTGGGCTTCAATTCCCAGAATTCCCTAGCCAGCTAACCCTTCCTTCCTTCCTTCCTTCCTTCCTTCCTTCCTTCCTTCCTTCCTTCCTTCCTTCCTTCCTTCCTTCCTTCCTTTCCTCCTTCCTTCCTTCCTGCCACCCTCCTTCTCCTTTCTTCCAGAAGCAGTGAGTGCTCCAACACTGGAAGTTTTAAAGAAGAGACTGGACAGCCATTTGTCTGAAATGGTATAGGGTTTCCTGCCTGACGGGGTTGGACTAGATGACCTCCAATGTCCCTTCCAACTTTATCATCATCATCAGCTGAGTTCCTTCCTTCCTTCCTTCCTTCCTTCCTTCCTTCCTTCCTTCCCATCCCCCCTTTCTTTTCTTTTCCTTCCTTCCTCCCTCCCTCCTTCCCTTTCTCCCTTTTTCCTTCCTTCCTTCCTTCTTTCCTTTCTCCCTCGCCGTCCCTCCTTCATTTTCTTTTCCTTCCTTCTTTCCTCCCACCCTCCTTCTCCTTCCTTCCTTCCTTCCTTCCTCCCCATCCCTCCTTCCTTTTCTTTTCCTTCCCTCCTTCCTCCCCGTCCCTCCTTCCTTCCTTCCTTCCCATCCTTCCTTCCTTTTCTTTTCCTTCCATCCTTCCTCCTTCCTTCCTTCCCTTTTTCCTTCCTTCCTTCCTTCCTTGCCGTCCCTCCTTCCTTTTCTTTTCCTTCCTTTTTTCCTCCCACCCTCCTTCTCTTTTCTTCCTCCTTTCCTCTCTCCCTCCTTCCCTCCTTTTCCCTTCCTTCCTTCCTTTCTCCCTCACTGTCTCTCCTCCCTCCCTCCCTTTTTTCCCTTCCTTCCTTCCTCCCTCCCTCCCTCCCCTTCCCTCCCTCCTTTTCTTTTCCTCCCCCCTCTTTATCACTCTCTTTCCCTCCCTCCTGGCAGATAATGTCTCCTTCGGAGGCGTTTCGGGGACTTAAAGGACAGGCGCCTGGCGTGCAGCTGCAGGATGGCCGTCTCCTGGCACTGTCTGAGCGTGTCCTGGCGGCCTCTCGGCCAGGGGTGCCCAGGACACCCGAATCTCCCCCGCGGTCGGGCTGCTCACCCTGGTTCTCATCTTTGATGGGGAAACAGAGGATGTTCCTGGTGCGAAAGCCGGTGCTGTCGTCCACCCCGCGGTAGAAGAGGGGGTGGGAATAAGCATCCTTGATGTTCAGGATCTTGCCCGTGGTGGCCACGTGGCCGGCGATGCCCTGATCGGCTGGAATCCGGATTTCGTAGCTCTGTACCCAGGGATGGAGAACATGCTGGTTACTCCAAATATCTTTCTCTTTTGCTTTACTTAGTTCATAAAACAACGCGAAGAGCAGAACAAATATAAAACGATCACGAAAGGCAAAGGGGAGTGCAGGAAAAAGAAAGCAACACAATCACCACTTAAATGACGCACAAAGAGAGACAACAAGGGTCTGCTGGTTTGAGTGAGGAAATCAGTGTTTTTCAACCATGGCAACTTTAAGATGGGGGGACTTCAACTCCCAGAATCCCCAAGCCAGCATGCTTTAAGATGAATGGACTTCAACTCCCAGAATCCCCCTGACAGCATGTTTTAAGATGGGTGGACTTCAACTCCCAGAATCCCCCAGCCAGCATGCTTTAAGATGGGTGGACTTCAACTCCCAGAATCCCCCCAACAGCATGCTTTAAGATGAATGGATGTCAACTCCCAGAATTCCCCAGCCAGCATGCTTTAAGATGGGGGGACTTCAACTCCCAGAATCCCCTAGACAGCATGTTTTAAGATGGGTGGACCAACTCCCAGAATCCCCCATCCAGCATGCTTTAAGATGAATGGATGTCAACTCCCAGAATCCCCCAGCCAGCATGCTTTAAGATGGGTGGACTTCAACTCCCAGAATCCCCCAGCCAGCATGCTTTAAGATGAATGGACGTCAACTCCCAGAATCCCCTAGACAGCATGCTTTAAGATGGGTGGACTTCAACTCCCAGAATCCCTAGTCAGCATGCTTTAAGATGGGTGGACTTCAACTCCCAGAATCCCCTAGACAGCCTGCTTTAAGATGGGGGGGACTTCAACTCCCAGAATCCCCCAGCCAGCATCTTGCCCAGGTTGAGAGGTATTGGTGGAGACAGAGAGAGAGCGAACACAGCAGTTACACCCTGCCATTTCAGTAAAAAATGGCTTATATTTCACTTTAATTGTCCATAAATTCTCCAAGTCGGTAAGCAACTCATTCATAACTTACAAGTTAACATCTAAGGAGGGAAATGGCTTTTTGAAAGATTTATTTTTTTGCAAAACCTCCACACCCAGCCTTGGGCTAAACAGACCCAGATTTACAAAGCACTCAAACCAAAGAGAGAAAGTCTCTTCAGCTGGGATGAAACCTGACATGTCCTGCTCTGAAGTCTGTGTTTTTAACCACAGCTCGTGAGAAAGAAAGGAAAAAAAAGGCACGATTTCTGAGTTTTGGCCGCCGTTCCCATAATTTGGGGAGCAAGCAGACTTTATCATGAGACAAACGAGCAGAGGACTAAGAAGAGGAATAGTAAGCATAGCTATATTATTATTGTTGTTGTTGTTGTTGTTGTTATTGGTCATTGCACAGTCAGCCAGATGTTCATACTGGATTTGGCATTTTTGTCTACCTATCGAGTCATTATGATGATGATGATGTAGTCCTAGACTTACGACCGTAATTGAGCCCCAGATTTATGTTGCTAAGTGAGACATTTGTTAAGTGAGTTTTGCCCCATTTTATGACTTTTCTTGCCACCGTTGTTAAGTGGATCAAAGCAGTTGTTACATTTGGTAACACAGTCGTTAAGTGAATCTGGCTTTCCCCCTCTCCCTCTCCCCCCCTCTTTTGCCCTCTGCCCCCTTCCTCTCCCTCCCTCCTCCTCCTCCTCCTCCTCCTCCCTCTGCCTTTTCTTCTCTCCCCCCTCTTCCTTCTCTTCATTCCTCCTCCTCCTCCCTTCCCTTTCTCTTTCTCCTACTTCTCCTCTTCTCCCTCTCCCCATTCCTTCTCTCTCCCCTCTTCCTTCTCTTTCTTTCTCCTCCCTTCCCTCTTTCTCCTACTTCTCCTCTTCTCCCTCCCTTCTCCGTCCTGTCTCTTCCTTTCTCTTCTTCCTCCCTTCTTTTTCTCCTCCTCCTCCTCCTTACTCTTCTTCCTTCTTCCCCTTTGCCTTTCCCTCCTGCTCCCCTCCCTCCCTCTCCCTTGTTCCTTTCTTTCTTTCTTTCTTTCTTTCTTTCTTTCTTTCTTTCTTTCTTTCTTTCTTTCTTTCTTTTTCTTTCTTTCCTCCTCCTCCTCCTCCTCCTCCTCCTCCTCCTCCTCCTTCTCTCTCCCCCTCTCACTTTGCTTGTCAGGTCACAAAATGTGATCACATGACCTCGGGATGCTGCAACTGTCACGAGTACATGCCAGTTGCCAAGCGTCTGAATCTTGATCACGTGACCCTGGGGAATGCTGCAACGGTCATGAGTGTGAAAAATGGTCGTAAGTCCCTTTTTTCAGTGCCGTTGTAAACTTTGAATCATCACTAAGTCGTAAACTGAGGACCAAATTCAGGCCCTTTCCATTTGAATCTCTCTCTTTCTCTCTCTCTCTCTCTCTCTCTCTTTTTAATGGCTGTCTATCCCTAGTCGGGAATTTAGAACGACATCTTGGTCTCGCAGCCGAATCGTGACGCTCTTCTGCAACGTTTGAATGGTTTGAAATCTTGATATATTTTTTTAAAAACAAAAAATATGAACGTTGATCTTCTATTAGCGAGTAAATCTGCAACCTCTATAATAATAATAATGATGATGATGATGAAGAAGAAGTTGGATGGTACCTTGGAGGTCATCTAGTCCAACCCCCTTATTCTGGAACATATATGTAACCCCAACTAGAGAGCAGGTATCAGCATGTTAGAATATCCGGCAGTTATTGGGTTAAATCAGTGGTTCTCACCCTGTGGGTCGGGACCCCATTTGGGGTCGAACGACCATTTCACGGGGGTCGCCAAACAACGCAGTCCGCCATATTTTTCCCCTTTTCCTTAGCTGTGCTACTCCCTTTTCTTCTATTGGCTTTTGAAAGCCAATAGGATAGACTCTCTTGAATAGAGTCTAATTCTATTGGCTTTCCAAAGCCAATAGGAATTGTCCAGGCTGTCTCTGCCCTGCTGAGCCCGCCAAAAGTCCCATTCTGCAAACGGGGCTGCACCAGTTGAGTAGTCCTCAACTTACGACCGGTTGGGGGTCGCGGCATTAAAAAGGTTGAGAACCACTGGGTTAAATGCTAGGTCTGTTGATGGGTCAGTGGGAGGAGTCTAAAAAGGTCATTGGGAGACTTCCTGGACACAAGCCACATGGGAAGGTCTTTGTCTGTAAGAAGCATGGGCCATGGAAGGTCACACAATAAGCCTGAGCCGTTATAAAGATGGTATGGAAGAGCATCATACTTTTACCTAAAGAGATGGTCTGAAGAAATGGACAAAAGATGTATTTTCCAGGAGGAACAACCACAGCGTGAATGCAAGTAATCTTTCTAATAAATATACTTTTTGTTTATTATAAGATCATTTCTTTTGAGTTATCTATCTGACTTGATAGGTGTTTTATATCAGAGTCAGAATACCCCTATCCCATTTCAGACAAATGGCTGTCCAGTCTCTTCTTTAAAACTTCCAGAAGGCGGAAATTGGGTTTAAAGCCATTCCTCGGATTACGACCGTTTGTTTGGTGAAGCTACAACGGCACTGAAAAAAAAAGACTTGGGACGGCGTTTCACAGTTACGACCGTTGCTGCCTCTCCGTGGTCACGTGATAAAAATCCAGGCACTTGGCAACTCATAACAACTGTTGCAGGATCCCGGGGGTCACGCAATCACAATTTGTGATCTTCCCAGCTGGCTTCTGATGAGCAAAGTCAATGGGGGGGGATGCTGGATTCACTTAACGGCCGCCTGGCTCACTTAACAATGATATGGATCTGCTTAACGACGGTGGGGGAAAAAAAAGTCTTAAAACCAGGCGTGGCTCACGCGACCGTCTTTCCTAGCAGTGGGATTTCTGATCTGGGTTGTGGGCCAGCTGAGTTATGCTTTCTCTCCTCCATTCAGAATGGCAGAATAACCCAGTTGGAAGGGACCTGGGAGGTCTTCTAGTCCAGCCCCCCCCCCCCCCGTTTCCTCTCGGCCTCCGGTTCCCCTGCGTGTCTCACCTCGTCATCCACCACTCCGCCGTCGAAGACCTTGGCCACCAGTTCGTGACTGCTTCGGTCCAGCAGGAAAACCGAACATCTGAAAGGGAGTCCCGTGAGGGAAGAGGGTGAGGAGAGAGCCTCCAGGCGGGAAACAGGGGAGGAGGAGGAGGAAGAATAGAAGAATAGAAGAAGAAGAAGAAGAAGAAGAAGAAGAAGAAGAAGAAGAAGAAGAGGAGGAGGAGGAGGAGGAGGAGGAGGAGGAGGAGGAGGAAGAATAGAAGAAGAAGAAAAAGAGGAGGAGGAGGAAGAAGAAGAATAGAAGAAGAATAGAAGAAGAAGGAGGAGGAAGAGGAGGAAGAATAGAAGAAGAGGAGGAGGAAGAAGAATAGAAGAAGAAGAATAGAAGAAGAAAAAGAGGAGGAGGAGGAAGAAGAAGAATAGAAGAAGAATAGAAGAAGAAGGAGGAGGAAGAGGAGGAAGAATAGAAGAAGAAGAAAAAGAGGAGGAGGAAGAAGAATAGAAGAAGAATAGAATAGAAGAATAGAAGAAGAGGAGGAGGAGGAAGAATAGAAGAAGAAGAATAGAAGAAGAATAGAAGAAGAAGGAGGAGGAAGGAAGAAGAAGAATAGAAGAAGAATAGAAGAAGAAGGAGGAGGAAGAGGAGGAAGAATAGAAGAAGAAGAAAAAGAGGAGGAGGAGGAAGAAGAATAGAAGAAGAATAGAAGAAGAAAAAGAGGAGGAGGAGGGAAGAATAGAAGAATAGAAGAAGAAGGAGGAGGAGGAAGAATAGAAGAAGAAGAATAGAAGAAGAATAGAAGAAGAAGGAGGAGGAAAAGGAGGAAGAAGAAGAATAGAAGAAGAGGAGGAGGAAGAGGAGGAAGAAGAATAGAAGAATAGAAGAAGAAGAAGAAGAAGAGGAGGAGGAGGAAGAATAGAAGAAGAAGAAGAAGAAGAAGAAGAATAGAAGAAGAAAAAGAGGAGGAGGAGGGAAGAATAGAAGAAGGAGGAGGAAGAAGAATAGAAGAATAGAAGAATAGAAGAAGAAGAGGAGGAAGAAGAGGAGGAGGAAGAAGAATAGAAGAAGAAGAAGAGGAGGAGGAGGAAGAAGAATAGAAGAACAATAGAAGAAGAAGAGGAGGAGGAGGAGAAGAAGGGCTAGGATGCGTTTTTTCTATTCCTCCCCGGTCCCGTTTCTTCTTTTCTCTCTCTTTCTCTTTCCTTCCTTCCTTCCTGTTTTTCTTCCTCCCTTCTTTCTTTCCATCTTCCCTACTTCTCTCTCACCCTCCCTTCCTCCCTCTTTCTCTTTTCACTCCTTCCTTCCTCCCTCTTTTTCTTCCTTCATTCTTTCTATCTTCCCCCCTTCTCTCCCTCTCCTTTCCTCCCTTCCACTTTCATTCCATCCTCTTCCTCCATTCCTTCCTCCCCTTTCCTTTTCCTTCTCTCTTTTCATCGATCCTCCCTCCTCCCTTCCTCTCCCTTTTTTCTTCCTCCCTTCTTTCCATCTTCCCTCCTTCTCTCCCTTCCTCCCTCCCTCCCTCCCCCTTCCTTCTTTCCTTCTCTCTTTTCACTCGTTCTTCCCTCCCTTCCTCCCTCCTCCCCATTTTTCTTCCTCCCTTCTTTCCATCTCCCCTCCTTCTCTCCCTCTCTCCCTTCCTTCCTCCCTCTCTCCCTTTCATTCCTTCTCCCTTCTTCTTTCCCCTTTCCTTCCTTTCCATCCTCCCTCCCTTTCTTCCTCCCTTCCTTCTTTCCATCTTCCCTCCTTCTCTCCCTTCCTCCCTCCCTCCCTCCCCCTTCCTTCTTTCCTTCTCTCTTTTCACTCGTTCTTCCTCCCTCATTTTTCTTCCTCCCTTCTTTCCTTCTTCCCTCCTTCTCTCCCTCTCCCTTCCTCCCTCTTTCATTCCTTCTCTCCCTCCTTCTTCCCCCATTCCTTCCTTTCTACCCTCCCTCCCTCTTTCTTCCTCCCTTCCTTCTTTCCATCTTCCCTCCTTCCCTGCCTGCCCATGTTTTTTTTTAACTCTCTGTTTTTGACTGAGGTTCTCCACTGGGAGTCACAAATTACCAGGAAATGTCTTTAAATAAAACTTAAGCATATAAAACATAGACAACGCCCCACGCTCTCTCCTCCAGGATTTGCAGCCTGTAGGAGCAATCCAGAGACACCCCCCCCCGCAGGGTTGTTTGGGCTGTTCCTCGTGAATGCCGCCCCCACCAGGAGCCCAGCTGTGACCATTAGGCCCTCCTGCCCAGGATAAGACCCACATTTCAGCATTGCTGAGATTCCTGGCTTCCGTGATGATCTCCTGCAGCAGCACCGAAACGTCATCTGAAAGAGAAAGGAAGGAATTGGGGAGAAGCTGAGAGGACCGTCTGGTGGACCTCAGAAATATATCTTTTTTTGGGGGGGGGGGACTTTATTCCCATCCCACCATACACCCACCGATTGGCATCCGTAACCATGCCTAGCTCTCAAGCTTCCTCCTTCCGTTATCTATTCAAGATGGACAGTATTTAATATTTATTTGCTATGTATATGTAGGGATGTGGGTCTGTACCAGGGGTAGTCAACCTTGGCTCTTTTATGACTCATGGAATTCAACTCCCAGAATTCCTGAGCCAACATGGGGGAACTATGGCCCCTTCATGACTGATGGACTTCAACTCCCAGAATTCCTCAGCCAGCATGGGGGAACTATGGCCCCTTCATGACTGATGGACTTCAACTCCCAGAATTCCTCAGCCAGCATGGGGGAACTATGGCCCCTTCATGACTCGGGGACTTCAGCTCCCAGAATTCCTGAGCCAGCATGGGGGAACTATGGCCCCTTCATGACTGATGGACTTCAACTCCCAGAATTCCTCAGCCAGCATGGGGGAACTATGGCCCCTTCATGACTCGGGGACTTCAGCTCCCAGAATTCCTGAGCCAACATGGGGGAACTATGCCCTCTTCATGACTCGTGGACTTCAACTCCCAGAATTCCTCAGCCAGCATGGGGGAACAATGGCCCCTTCATGACTTGTGGACTTTAACTCCCAGAATTCCTGAGCCAGCATGGGGGAACTATGGCCCCTTCATGACTTGTGGACTTTAACTCCCAGAATTCCTGAGCCAACATGGGGGAACTATGCCCTCTTCATGACTGATGGACTTCAAGTCCCAGAATTCCTGAGCCAGCCATGCTGAGGGGAAAGGGAGAGGTTTCCAAGCTGAGCCATGCTGGCTCAGGAATTCTGGGAGTTGAAGTCCACGAGTCATAAAAGAGCCAAGGTTGACTACCCCTGGTCTATACATATGTTGTTCATAGTATGTTTAGGTGTGTGTCACGTATGTTTCACTTTGAGAGCGGGCAACTCAGTTTCATTTTTGATGTGTGCCGTTGTGCCCACAGTAAAACAAAATGACAATAAAGGTTATTTAAATAAATAAATAAATTTAAATAAATAAATAGATTTAAATAAATAAATAAATAAATAAATATTTTATCTTATCTTATCTCTTAGCTGAGATGGGGAATTATTCCCTTTTTATCGGCGAGAATGGATAGATATGAATATGACCGGATGTATCTACTGCAATGTAAGTCTCAGCTTGGAATTTCTGGACAATAAATATTTGTTTAAAACCATCTCGTGGAGTTTACGCTCTCTGGATCAGGACTATGATGCATCTCAGTCTACGTTCCAGAAAAGTAATAATAATAATAATAATAATAATAATAATAATAATAATAATAATAATAATAATAATGATGATGATGTGATGATGATAGGTGCCTTGGGTGCAATCCCAAAACAACTGGAGCACCACTTGAACACCATTGGCATTGACAAATTCGCTATTAGTCAATTGCAAAGGCAGCCTTATTAGGAACTGCTTCCATCCTGCGACAATATCTGTAATACCATCAAACATCCACATCTGCCTATCCCAGGTCCTGGGTAAGGACTCGCTAGGTAGACAAAATGCCAAATCCAGTCTGAACATCTGGCTGACTGTGTGATGATAATGATGATAATGATGATGATGATCATCATCATCAAGTTGGAAGGGACCTTGGAGGTCATCTAGTCCAACCCCCTGCTCAGACAGGAAACCCTACACCATTTTAGACAAATGGCTGTCCAGTCTCTTCTTAAATATCTCCAGTGTTGGAGCACCCATAGTTTCTGGAGGCAGGTTGTTCCACTGGTTAATTGTTCTAACTGTCAGGAAGTTTCTCCTTAGTTCTAGGTTGCTTCTTGTCCTGCCTTCTTCAGGCACTTTGGAGAATAGCTTGACTCCCTCTTCTTTGGGGCAGCCCCTGAGATACTGGAAGGCTGCTATCATGTCCCCCCTGGTCCTTCTCTTCATTAAAAGTAAAAAGGAAAAATTTCCCATCTCAGCTAGGCATGGTTATGGATGCCAATTGATACCTGCATGATGCTTGATTAAAACAAAAGCTTTTACAACCCCGGCAGGTAGCCAGGACATCCTGTAATAAACTTTGAAGCCCCTCCCACTGACTAGATAAGATAGAGGGCTGACTGACAACTAGACTACATTTCCCAGAGGCCACCTCTTAAGGAGGCAGCGTTTAACCCTTTCAACGCTAAATGCTCTAACACAGTCCTCAATTCCTAAGCTAGCTATAAAATGGACCAGATGGCTCAACTGGTCCAACACATCATTTGAAATGGGTAAGAAGTGGGGAGAAGCTCAGAGGACTATCTGATGGACCTCAGACATATATCTTCTGGGAGGGGGGATAGAGGAGCTTTATTCCCACCCCACCTCCACTGGAAAGCAACCCCGGCCAGCCCACCACCACCCCCAATTTCAATGGGGCCAAATCATCAGTAGAGTCTCTTAAGCAGAGATGTCCTGTGTCAGGCCCTGGTTCCTTTCTCCTGTCCTTGGCTGGTGCTGGATGGACTTGGATACCTACCCAGGTGAGTGAAGAGGTTCTTGGCCACTTGCAAAAGAGCCTGAGGAGGAGAAGAAGAAAAAGAGGTGAACGCCCCCCCGTTCTTGCCAAGGACCAACGTTGCATTTTTGGAAAGGATGCACGCCGCCTCTTATTGGTCAGAATAACAGAATTCAGTTGGAAGGGACCTTGGAGATGTTCTAGTCCAACCCCTTGCTCAGAGAGAGAACTCTAGCCCAGGGCTTTTCAACCTTTTCACCCCTTGTACCACTTTTAGGATATGGCAACATCCGAGGACCACCAGTCGCCTAGCAAGGGGTCAAAAACTTGATGACCAAAAAAAAAAAAAAAAGAAAGAAAGAAAAAAGTGATAAAGCACAGGTAGTCCTCGACTTACAACAGTTCGCTTAGTGACTGTTCGAAGTTACAGTGGCACTGAAAAAAGTGCCCCCCAAGCCACAGCCGAGCAAGACACCTGCCTGCCCGCCCGGCCGCGCTCTTCCTCCTGTCCGAGGTTTTCATTGTTGTGAGCATTTCTGTTGAGGATTGGCAGCGGGGGTGGGGTGGGGGGTGTTTGGTTTTTATTCCCCCCCCTGTCTGCTGGGTGGTTGCAGCAGGTTTTGGTCACTTCACATGACCCTGGGACGCTGTGACCGTCATAAATATGAATCGGTTTGCCAAGCATCTGAATGTAAATCACAAGACCCTGGAGAGGCTGCAACATTCCAGCTGATCGGCGCTTCTTCTGGGCTCAGCAGAAGCGCCAGGATCAGCGCTGAGCTCCAGCTGGAACCTGGCACTGATCCTGGCGCTTCCGCTGAGCCCTGACATCCCTGCAGCTCCAGCCGTCTCTTGCTCAGGCTTGTGCGGTGCTGCCACTGGTTCAGCTCATTTTCCTCCCCCGCTACCACTTTTCTAGGATGGTTGCGTACCCCCTGCCAGGTGCCAATGGACCACAGGTGGTACCCCTACCCCTGGTTGAAAAGTCCTGCCCTAGACAAATGCTTATCCAATCTCTTCTTGGAAACCTCCAGAGCTGGAGCACCCACAACTTCTGGAGGCAGGTTGTTCCACTGATGAATTGTCCTCCCAGTCAGGAAGTTTCTCCCCTTAGTTCCAGATTGCTTCTCTCTTTGGTTGGTTTCCATCCGTTGCTTCTTGTCCTGCCCTCAAGTGCTTTGGAGAATAGGTGGACCCCCCCCTCTTCTTTGTGGCAACCCCTCAGATACTGGAAGACTGCTATCATGTCAGCTCTCGTCCTTCTTTTTATTAGACTAGACATACCCCATGCCTTCAACTATTCTTCTTGAGGTCTGAGATGCAAGCCTACAGGAGATATCTCTAAACTTTGCAGAAGTTCAGTGGTTTTGATCTTCAAAAGTCCCAACAGGTGAAGACCATCTTATTTTGACCTTCAAAAGTCCCAACAGCTGAAGACCATCTTATCTTGACTTTCAAAAGTCCCAACAGCTGAAGACCATCTTATCTTGACCTTCAAAAGTCCCAACAGCTGAAGACCATCTTATTTTGACCTTCAAAAGTCCCAACAGCTGAAGACCATCTTATTTTGACCTTCAAAAGTCCCAACAGCTGAAGACCATCTTATTTTGACCTTCAAAAGTCCCAACAGCTGAAGACCATCTTATCTTGACCTTCAAAAGTCCCAACAGCTGAAGACCATCTTAGTTTGACCTTCAAAAGTCCCAACAGCTGAAGACCATCTTATCTTGACCTTCAAAAGTCCCAACAGCTGAAGACCATCTTAGTTTGACCTTCAAAAGTCCCAATAGCTGAAGACCATCTTATCTTGACCTTCAAAAGTCCCAACAGCTGAAGACCATCTTAGTTTGACCTTCGAAAGTCCCAACAGCTGAAGACCACCTTATCTGAAGGAGCATCTTCTCTTATCTGGTTCTGAAGATCTTTCAATCAAGACCTTCCCCTAGATCTACCCCATCCCCCACATAAAGCTGGTGAGGTGGATCTCTGCAACCAGGAGAGCTTTTTCTGTGGTGGCACCCCATATATGGCATCCTGGCACCCTCCATTCCCATTATTCTCAACCTGGGTGAAGATGTTTCTATTTTCCTAGACATCTTAATCTTATTTTAATTGTATTTATGTCTTATGTTTTTTGAGATTTAAATGACTGCCTTTCTAGTCTCTCTTGCTTTTTAACTGGCTTAATTGTATTTTAATGACATTTTAATGTACATTGTTTATGTCTTTGAATGACTGCCTTGCAGCTGTCTAGTTTGCCCTGTGTGATGTCTTTATTTTGCACTTTATTTGATTTTTATGGGTTTAACTGTCTTTTTATTGTAAACTACCTCGAGAGCTTTGGCTGTCAGGCAGTTTAAAAATTTTAAACAGACGCATGAACCAATTTTATTATCCCCATCTGCAAGCTTGATCTCTTCAGGTGAAGTCCCACATCTGCATCCACACAACACAGGAAGCTTGGTTGACACGCCTCTTGTTAAGCTGCTGTTTGTTCTCTGAGTGGCTGGTGCCAATCTAGCTGCTGGGGTGAGCTTCTGCTTCAGTCTGTTGCGAGGATATGAAAAAATGGCTCCACTCCATAAATAAGTCAAGGATGTTGACTTACTTATCCAGTTATGGTTGCCGCGATACCAAAAAACATGCTGAGACTGTGGAAAGAGTATAGAGAAAAGCAACAAAGATGATTAGGGCGCTGGAGGCTAAAACAAATGAAGAACGGTTGCAGGAATTGGGTGTTGTTGTTAGTTACGAAGTCGTGTCCGACGCATCACGGCTCCATGGACAACGTTCCCCCAGGCCTTCCTGTTCTCTGCCATCTTCTGGAGTCCATTGAAGCTCACGCCTCCTGCTTCAGTGACTCCATCCAGCCACCTCCTTCTCCGCCGTCCCCTTCTTCTGTTGCCCTCCATCTTTCCCAGCATTAGGCTCTTCTCCAGGGAGTCCTTCCTTCTCATTAGGTGGCCAAAGTCCTTGAGTTTCCACTTCAGGATCTGGCCTTCTCAAGAGCAGTCAGGGTTGATCTCCTCCAGGACTGACCGGTTGGATCGCCTTGCAGTCCAAGGGACTCGCAGGAGTCTTCTCCAGCACCATAGTTCAAAGGCCTCCATTCTTTTGGCGCTCAGCCTTTCTTATGGTCCAACTTTCACAGCCATACATTGGGCATGAGAATTGGGTATGTCCAGTTTAATGAAAAGAAGAACTTTTGACATGATAGCTAGCATCTTCCAATATTTTTTATATAATATTTTATCAATTTTCTATTATTACAATTCCTTAGTGCTTCATGAATAACGTGTTGCCTGGGTTAATTTATTAGGTTTACTAATACCAATTAAGTTCTTACTCTCTATCCTGTTTTTCCAGCCAATGATAGAATAGGTTCCACGTTTGAACATATTCTAGATCTTCTTTTTCTTTAATTCTCAGTGTAGCCAAAACCCTGGTATCTATTATCACAATACTACTACTACTCCTACTAATAAAGTTAGAAGGGACTTTGGAGGTCATCTAGTCCAACCCCCTGCTCAGGCAGGAAACCTTATACTATTTCAGACAAATGGCTGTCCAGTCTCTTCTTAAAAACTTCCAGTGTTGGAGCATAAACCACTTCTGGAGGCAGGTTGTTCCACTGGTTAATTGTTCTAATGGTCAGGAAATTTCTTAGTTGGTTGTTTCTCTCCTTATTTATTTATTTATTTATTTATTTATTTATTTATTTATGAGACTTATATACCGCTTTAAGTGCAAGCACTCTCTAAGCGGTGTACACCAGTAAGCAATGTATATATATATATATATTTACATTGCACCCAACAATCTGGGTCCTCATTTTACCTACCCCGGAAGGATGGAAGGCTGAGTCAACCTTGAGCCGGTGAGATTTGAACCGCTGACCTGCTGAACATAGTCAGCTAAAGTGGCCTGCAGTACTGCACTCTTTCCATCCGTTGCTTCTTGTCTGGCCCTCGGGCGCTTTGGAGAATGGCTTGACTGCCTCTTCTTTGGGGCAGCCCCTGAGAGACTGGAAGGCTGCTATCATGTCCCCCCTCGTCCTTCTCTTCTTTAAACTAGACATACCCAATTCCAGCAACCGTTCCTTGTATGTTTTAGCCTCCAGTCCCCTGATCCTCTTTGTTGCTCTTCTCTGCCCTCTTTCCAGAGTCTCAACATCTTTTTTACATCATGGTGACCAAAACTGGATGCAGTATTCCAAGTGTGGCCTTACCAAGGCCTTGTAAAGTGGTATTAACACTTCACGTGATCTTGATTCTTGTGGTGGATGTGTGTTAAAGCAAAAAAAATAAAAAATAAAAATTGGACAAACATACATACTTGGTTAGAAAAGATGTTAGGGAAGCACACAGGCTTTAAACCTGAACTCTTTTTACTAGGTATAATTTCAGAAAAAAGTGATAAAGTGTATATTTTACTTTACATGTATTCACAGCAGCAAGGATTGTATTTGCTCAGCACTGGAAAAATGAAAAAAATACCATTGGGTGAAGAGATAATTAAGAAAATACTGGACTGTGTGGAAATGGATAGAGCATCTTCCAATAGTTGAGGGGCTGCCCCAAAGAAGAGGGAGTCAAGCTATTCTCCAAAGCAGGACAAGAAGCCACAGATGGAAACTCATCAAGGAGAGAAGCAACCTAGAACTAAGGAGAAACTTCCTGACAGTTGGAACAATTAGCCAGTGGAACCACCTGCCTCCAGAAGCGGTGAATGCTCCAACACTGGAAGTTTTCAAGAAGAGACTGGACAGCCATTTGTTTGAAATGGTATAGGGTCTCCTGCCTGAGCAGGGGGTTGGACTAGATGACCTCCAAGGCCCCTTCAACTCTGTTATCCTGTGTTGTGTGAAGGTAGGAACCATTCCAAGTTCCTTAATCCACCAGCTCAGTCCCTAAATGCATTTGCAATCAAGTTGATTGATTATGCGCCATCGAGCTGCTGTCCGCTCTCAGTGACCGCATAGATTCTTTCAATAATAATTTGCCTTAACCCAATTTACAATAAATTAGCATTTGGTAAATATGCTGCAGCTGTTTAAGGGAAGAGTGAACTTTACCAAAGACTTGCAATATTGTTCCAAACAGCACCGCCAGAGGGAGCCCTGAGCACATGGCTGGCCCAAAGGGACTCATTGGGTGGTGGGCAAGTTGGAAGCTGAAAAGTTCTGTCTTTGTGTGAGTGTTAGTGTGTGTGTGTGTGTGTGTGTGTGTGTGTGTGTGTGTGTGTGTGTGTGTGAAAAAGAATGAGAGAGGAAGAGAAAAAGAAAGAGAGAAAGAGAGAGGAAGGAAGGAAGGAAGGAAGGAAGGAAGGAAGAAGCAAGAAGGCAAAAACAGAGAAAGAAAGAGAAAGAGAGACAGGGAGAGAGAGGAAGAAAGGAAGGAAGGAAGGAAAAGAAAGAGCAAGAGGGCAAAACAGAGAGAGAGAAAGAGAGAGAGAGAGAAAGAGAAAGAATGAGAGGAAGAAAAAAGGAAGGAAAAGAAAGTGCGAAAGAGAGAAAGAGAGAGAGAGAAAGAAAGAGAGGAAGGGAGGGTGGGAGGGAGGGCAGGAGAGAGAGAGAAGAAAAAAGAGAGAGGAGAGAGAGAGAAAGAAGAGAAAGAAGAGAGAAAGAGAAAGAGAAAGAAGAGAAAGAAGAGAGGAGAGAAAGAGAAAAAGGAAGGAAGGATGTAAGGAAGGAAGGAAAACAAGGAGGAAGAAGGCGAAACAGAGAAAGAGAGAGAGTCAGAGAGGGAGAGAGAGAGGAAGAAAGGAAGGAAGGAAAAGAAAGAGCAAGAGGGCAAAACAGAGAGAGAGAGAGAGAGAAAAGAGAAAGAATGAGAGAGGAAGAAAAAAGGAAGGAAAAGAAAGTGCGAAACAGAGAGAGAGAGAGAAAGAAAGACAGAGAGGAAGGAAGGGAGGGAGGGAGGGCAGGAGAGAGAGAGAGAAAGAGAGAGAGAGAGCACCAGGCTGCATTAAGAAATGGGGTTCCTCCCTAAAAAAAAATCCACAGGGAGGACAGTTGTTCCCTCTCCATTCCTCAAAGACCAGCTCCTAGTGGACCATCCCTTAAATACGAGCCAGCCGTGTGCTGCAGCTGTCAAAAAAGCCAACACAGTGCTGGGCTGCATCAACAGAGGGATAGAATCAAGATCACGTGAAGTGTTAGTACCACTTTACAAGGCCTCGGTAAGGCCACACTTGGAATCCTGCATCCAGTTTTGGTCCCCACGATGTAAAAAAGATGTTGAGACTCTAGAAAGAGGGCAGAGAAGAGCAACAAAGATGATCAGGGGACTGGAGGCTAAAATATGTAAGGAACGGTTGCTGGAATTGGGTATGTCTTGTTTAACGAAGAGAAAGACGAGGGGGGACAGGATAGCAGCCTTCCAGTATCTCAGGGGCTGCCCCAAAGAAGTCAAGCTCTTCTCCAAAGCCCCTGAAGAAGGCAGGACAAGAAGCAATGGATGGAAAGTCACCAAAGAGAGAAGCAACCTGGAACTAAGGAGGAATTTCCTGACAGGGAGAACAATTAACCAGTGGAACCGCCTGCCTCCAGAAGCTGTGAATGCTCCAACACTGGAAGTCTTTAAGAAGAGACTGGACAGCCATTTGGACAGCTCTGAGGGACCTCTTCACTCCAGATGGATCTTAAAGAATATGAGCTTTGTTCTTGGGATGACCTGGGGATAACGAAGGCCAAGGACAGGTGGGCGTACCCCTTACCTGACACTCCCACTTGAGTTTCTGCTCCTTCTGGAAGGCCAACGTGCTGGTCAGCACCGTGGAAGTGTAGCAGAAGCAATGCTGGATTTTGTAGACATCAGCTTCATTGTAGCTGTGGGGAACAGAGAAGAGCAACAAAGATGTTGTCCATGGAGATTCTCCATTATCCAGGTCCTGGCTGTCCCAAAGGTGCTTTTTTTTTTTTTTTAAGAGGCCATGGGACTTTCTGGTTTTTCTTTGAAGACCTTTCCCTTCTCCTCCAGGAAGCTTCTTCAGCTCTGGGGTGAAGAGCAGAAGAAGCTTCTTGGATGGGAAGCGACAGTTCTTCAAAGAAAAACCAGAAAGTCCTGTGGCCCCGTGAAGAAGGAGCAACAGAGATGATCAGGGGGCTGGAGGCTAAAACATATGAAGAACGGTCGCTGGAATCGGGTATGTCTAGTTTAATGAAGAGAAGGACGAGGGGGGACATGATAGCAGTCTTCCGGTATCTGAGGGGCTGCCCCAAAGAAGAGGGAGTCAAGCTATTCTCCAAAGCCCCTGAAGGCAGGACAAGAAACAACGGATGGAAACTCATCAAGGAGAGAAGCAACCTAGAGCTAAGGAGAAACTTCCTGATAGTTAGAACAATTAACCAGTGGAACAACCTGCCTCCAGATGTCGTGGGTGATCCAACACTGGAAGTTTTTAAGAAGAGACTGGACAGCCATTTGGACAGCTCTGAGGGACCTCTTTATTCCAGATGCATCCCACTTGGCAGATGCATCCTAGAACTAAGGAGGAATTTCCTGACAGGGAGAACAATTAACCAGTGGAACAACCTGCCTCCAGAAGTCGTGGGTGATCCAACACTGGAGGTTTTTATGAAGAGACTGGACAAACCCTTGTCTGAAATGGTATAAGGGTCTCCTGCCTGAGCAGGGGGTTGGACTAGATGACCTCCAAGGTCCCTTCCAACTCTGTTATTTTGTTATTCACCCCCACAATGCTCAAGAGCTGATGGCCGATGCTTAAGTCATCTGCCAAGGAGAAGCAGGAATGATTCTTCTTCCTGCTCCTCTGAGTACCACCGAATCCCCAACTCACCTTTCGCCGCCAAGCTTGTTGAAGGCACAGGCCAAGGCCACCACCTGGGAGGTGGCTCGGCTGACCACAGGGACACACAGCATGGAGGTCACCTCAAAGCCCAGCATGGTGTTCAGCTGCTTGTGCTCTTCCTGGAACGAAAGAGGAGAACGTTGGTGTGAACCAGCCATCTTTCTAGCCACCGCCGTTAAACGAATCACTTCAGATGTTAAGTTAGCAACATGGCCGTTAAGAGAATCCAGCTTCCCCATTGACTTTGTGTGTCAGAAAATGGCAAAAGGGGATCATGTGGACCTGGGAGGTTGTGACTGTCATAAATATGAGTCAGAATAACAGAATCGGAGTCGAAACGGACCTCAGAGGTCTCCTAGTCCAGGGATAGGCAACCTTGGCTCTTTTATGACTCCTGGACTTCAACTCCCAGAATTCCTGAGCCAGCATGGGGGGAACTATGGCCCCTTCATGACTCATGGACTTCAATTCCCAGAATTCCTGAGTCAGCATGGGGGAACTATGGCCCCTTCATGACTCGTGGACTTCAACTCCCAGAATTCCTGAGCCAGCATGGGGGAACTTTGGCCCCTTCATGACTCGTGACTTCAACTCCCAGAATTCCTAACCATCATGGGGGAACTATTGCCCCTTCATGACTCGTGGACTTCACTCCCAGAATTCCTGAGCCAGCATGGGGGAACTTTGGCCCCTTCATGACTCGTGGACTTCAACTCCCAGAATTCCTGACCAGCATGAGGGAACTATGGCCCCTTCATGACTCGTGGACTTCAAATCCCAGAATTCCTGAGCTAGCATGAGGGAACCATGGCCCCTTCATGACTGGTGGACTTCAACTCCCAGAATTCCTGAGCCAGCATGAGGGAACTATGGCCCCTTCATGACTCGTGGACTTCAATTCCCAGAATTCCTGAGCCAGCATGGGGGAACTATGGCCCCTTCATGACTCGTGGACTTCAACTCCCAGAATTCCTGAGCCAGCATGGGGGAACTGTGGCCCCCTCATGACTCATGGACTTCAACTCCCAGAATTCCTCAGCCAGCATTGGGGAACTATGGCCCCTTCATGACTCATGGACCTCAACTCCCAGAATTCCTGAGCCAGCATGGCTGAGCTTGGAAACCTCTCCCTTTCCCTCAGCATGGCTGGCTTAGGAATTCTGGGAGTTGAAGTCCATGAGTCATAAAAGAGCCAAGGTTGCCTACCCCTGTCCTAGTCCAACCCCCTGCTCCGTTGCCAACCGTCTGAATTTTGATCACGTGACCGTGGGGATGCTGCAATGGACGTCCATGTGGAAAACGGTTGTACTGTAGTGGCCAAACTTGTGGAAACCTTTTGGGAAAAGTGTCCAGTAGAAATGCCACCTTTGGTTAAGTTTCCACCCATTTTTCTTCTCATTTCTTTATAACGGTAGCCTCGTTCACTTAATAATACTATTTTACATCGCTTTCTGGGCAACCAGTCAACTCTTTGCACCATGATTTTAATTTTATGACGTTTTACAAGCTCACTCAATGAAAGAACACCAAAAAACCCCCAACCAACTGGATAGCCATCACATAACACACTGACAAATGTCGTCCTCTCGGCTTCAATACAGGACATCAATCACTGGATCCTGCTGTGATCTGATTGGCTCATGGCCAAAACAAGAGGACACCTGATTGGCTCTCTAAACACTCATGCTCATTGGCTACAATCAGAGGGAAAGCTACCTGAGATCAACCGAAGCAAGTTGTGCTTCCTTTTTCTGGTTATTTGGCTATAACTTTTCATAGAATACAGTACAGATAATTGAACAAATTTTGTTGCATTACATTCTTGATTAAAATAATAATAATAATAATAATAATAATAATAATAATAATAATAATAATAATAATAATAATAATAATAATAATAGTAGTAGTAGTAGTAGTAGTAGTAGTAAAGTTGGAAGGGCCTTGGAGGTCATCTAGTCCAACCCCCTGCTCAGGCAGGAAACCCTACACCATTTCGGACAAATGGCTGTCCAGTCTCTTCTTAAAAACTTCCAGTGTTGGAGCATTTACTGCTTCTGGAGGCAGGAGTTCCACTGATTAATTGTTCTCACTGTCAGGAAGTTTCTCCGTAGTTCTAGGTTGCTTCTCTCCTTGATTAGTGATCTTTCCATTGATATATAATTTTATGGTACTGCTCCCCCCCCCAAAAAGTGGTGTTATTAGCCATCGAACCTCAAAAATACACTTTTCCCAAAAGGTTTCCACAATTTTGGCCCACGACTATAAGTCCCTTTTTTTCTGTGCCGTTGTAAGTTTGAATGGTCACTAAATGAACTGTGTTGAGGACCCAAATGGGAGGAACCCAACCCCTCTTTTACTGATGGACCTACCAAGCTGATGTCTTTCAGGATAAAAGATTGCTTCTCTTCCACGACTTTTCCCAAATGTCCAACTGTTAACTGGGTGGAAAAAAAGAGAGAAAGAGAGACACACAGGGAATAGTCTTCAGAACGAAATAAATGGAGGCCAGAACCAATTTGGGTCTTAATCAGACTCCCTGTCCTGATAACAATTAGAATTGACCATTTTTTTGTCCGTTGTACGATTCCATGCGGTGTAAGCTGCTCAAAATTGCTGGAGGCGGCCGTGGACAACAAACCATCATTCAACAAAGGAGAATATTTGTCGATTGGGGTTGAAATGTGGGGTCCTTGGTGCGCCCCGAGCTTGTTTTCTTGTAGACATTTCATTACCCAAGTAGGTAACATCATCAGTGCTAGGGGGTGATGTTAGCTAGTTTGGTAATTTTATGGTAAAAAAAATAATAATTAAAAACAAGCAAGCTCGGAGCGCACCAAGGACCCCTCGCAAGCCAAAAATAAAGTCAAATCAAGAAACAAATGCTCATCTTCTCACATTTTAATTTTATGGGGTTTCCGGCAGGAGAGCCTCAACGTTGAGGGGTTTCAAGCAAAAATGTCACACGCAGCGCGACAGACATTCTTCTCGATTTCTTAATCCTGAGAGTTAAGTCACCGAGATTTGACAAGACTTAATGAACTTTTGACTGACTGATGGGATCCGGAATAAGCTGTTGCTCTGTTTGTAACCGATTCCAAAGGGGCTCCAGTTCGGGGAAAAAGCTGGAGACAACACAACAGGACTCTTTCATATTGGCATCATGACATCACACACATCTACAGCTAGGGCAGGGGTAGGCAACCTTGGCTCTTTTATGGCTCATGGACTTCAACTCCCAGAATTCCTGAGCCAGCATGGGGGAAATATGGCCCCTTCATGACTCCTGGACTTCAACTCCCAGAATTCCTCAGCCAGCATGGGGGAACTATGGCCCCTTCATGACTCGTGGACTTCAACTCCCAGAATTCCTCAGTCAGCATGAGGGAACTATGGCCCCTTCATGACTTGTAGACTTCAACTCCCAGAATTCCTGAGCCAGCATGGGGGAACTTTGGCCCCTTCATGACTTGCAGACTTCAACTCCCAGAATTCCTGAGCCAGCATGGGGGAACTATGGCCCCCTCATGACTTGTGGACTTCAACTCCCAGAATTCCTGAGCCAGCATGGGGGAACTATGGCCCCTTCATGACTCGTGGACTTCAACTCCCAGAATTCCTGAGCCAGCATGGGGGAACTTTGGCCCCTTCATGACTTGGACTTCAACTCCCAGAATTCCTGAGCAGCATGGGGGAACTTGGCCCCTTCATGACTCGTGGACTTCAACTCCCAGAATCCTGAGGCAGCATGGGGAACTACATTCAACTCCCAGAATTCCTGAGGCAGCATGGGGGAACTATGGCCCCTTCATGACTTGTGGACTTCAACTCCCAGAATTCCTGAGCCAGCATGGGGGAACTATGGCCCCTTCATGACTCGTGGACTTCAACTCCCAGAATTCCTGAGCCAGCTGTGCTGAGGGGAAAGGGAGAGGCTTCCAAGCTGAGCCATGCTGGCTCAGGAATTCTGGGAGCTGAAGTCCACGAGTCATAAAGAGCCAAGGTTGCCTACCCCTGAGCTATGGGAATTGCTTATATTATTTTATGGAATTGTTTTAAGGTAATAAAAAGTTCTCCCCTATTTGTAAATATGTGTGATATTTGGTTTGTTCTAGTGCAGTGTTTCCCAAACTTGACAATTTTAAGCCATGTGGACTTCAACTCCCAGAATTCCACAGCCAGCAATGCTGGCTGTGGAATTCTGGGTGTTGAAGTCCACATGCTTTAAAATTGTCAAGTTTGGGAAACACTGTTCTAGTGGTTAAGGCAAAGGGGTAGAAAGCAGGAGTTCTAATCCCACCTCAGACATGAAAGCCGGCTGGGTGACTTTGGGCCAATCACCAGGAGACAGGGAGTTCTAGTCCCGCCTTAGGGATGAGAGCCAGCTGGGTGACTTTGGGCCAATCACCAGGAGATGGGGAGTTCTAGTCCCGCCTTAGGCATGAAAGCCGGCTGGGTGACTTTGGGCCAATCACCAGGAGACGGGGAGTTCCAGTCCCGCCTTAGGCACGAAAGACAACTGGGTGACTTTGGGCCAATCACCAGGAAGCTGTGAGTTCTAGTCCCGCCTTAGGCATGAAACCCAACTGGGTGACTTTGGGCCAATCACCAGGAGACGGTGAGTTCTAGTCCCGCCTCAGGCATGAAAGCCAAGTGGACACTTTCTCAAATTACAGTTCTGCTTTGGACTCAGGTTTTTCTTATCTGACCACTGTCTTGGTTCCAGGTCTTCCTTCTGCTCCTCAAGGCTGTTCTCTCCACCCATTACAGACCCCTACAACCCGTCTGAAGCTCCTGAGAACATTGGGATACCTGTGGTTGGCTTGGGAGGCTCATCTGTACTGATTTTTTTCATTGCGAGATCAACTTGGAGCTCTCTTAAGGCTGCGAACGCTTCCCCTTGTGTGTGTGGAAGACACTATTTTAGACCCTGAAGGATCAGCACTCACAACCTGAGCATCACAAGGAGAGGGGTGGGTTTAGCAACTTACTGGGAAGCTCATGTCCTCCTCCAAGACTTTATCTCCAACCACCTGCAAGAAAGAAAATTTGAACTGGTCAGAAAAAGTCCTCCTGTAGTTCTCTCTGTCATTTCTCATTCCATTAGAACATGTGGCCACTTCTGAGACTTGTGGACTTCAACTCCCAGAATTCCTCAACCAGCATAGCCCAAGGCAGTGAAGTACCCACAACTCCCGGAGGGAGCTGCTCCATCTATCCATCCATCCATCCATCCATCCATCCATCTATCTATCTATCTATCTATCTACCTATCTATCTATCTAATGTCTGTCTGTCTCTTTGCTGTCTGTCTGTCTGTCTGTCTGTCTGTCTTATATATATATAAGAAATAATGCTAAAGATAAAAGAATGATTTCTGGGTGTGTGCATGTTGAGAAATAAAATGTGAGCACCAGGAAGAAGTAAAACATTAAAAGTTTTATAAAACGCTAAAAGTTTAAATATAAAACATTTAAAATTTTTGAAAATCTATCTATCTATCTATCTATCTATCTATCTATCTATCTATCTATCTATCATCTATCTATCATCTATCTATCTATCTATCTATCTATCAATCATCTATCTATCTATCATCTATCTATCTTCTATCTCTATCTCTATCTTTCTAATCTATGATATCTTTCATCTCTGTCTGTCTGTCTGTCTGTCTGTCTGTCTGTCTACCGGTAGGTATCCATCCATCTATCTATCTATCTATCTATCTATCTATCTATCTATCTATTTATCTATCTAATGTCTGTCTGTCTCTTTGCTGTCTGTCTGTCTGTCTGTCTGTCTCTCTATATATATATCTATATATATCTTCTATCTCTATCTCTATCTTTCTAATTTATGGTATCTCTCATCTGTCTGTATGTCTGTCTGTCTGCCTACCGGTATCCATCCATCCATCCATCCAATTTATCTCTCATCCATCTCTCTTATCCATCCATCTCTCTTGTCTGTCTGTCCGTCCGTCCGTCCATCCACCCACCTAATTTCTCCATATCTATCTATCTATCTATCTATCTATCTATCTATCTATCTATCTATCTATCTATCTATCTATCTATCTATCTCTATCCATCCATCCATCCATCCATCCATCCATCCATCCATCGTGTCTTTCTCCTCTGTCATCTCTTTCTCTCTTCTATCTACTTATCATCTCTGTCTCCTACCGGTCGGTCTTTCAATATGTCTGTCTCTCTTTATCTCATCGAATTTATATAGCTGCCCATCTCACAAATAATCCAGGAAGTAAGATCAATAATTAGACAAAAAGCATTTCCTAAATTGAAGTTATTTCTTTGAGGGAGAGAATGGTAAATTGATTACTCAAGTTCTTATTCCATTTTGATTTCTAGGTACCAAATCTATACTGAGAGAACAACGGAAACTTTTTAAAACAGTTGACAATTGAAAAATGGTGTTCAAACTAAGGTCTATGACTCTGGCTGAGAAAAACATGAGGAGATGGGATTCTAGTTTTCAACACACACGGAGCCCAATCACAATTTTATTGATTCTGGAATGACAATAGGTTATTCATTCTGACCTTGTTTTAATTCTGTTTTTAATCTCTGTTTTTTTACTCTTGTTTTCGTACTACTGTATATTTTTCTGGTAAACCCACCCAGAGTCGTTTAGCTGAGATGGGCATAAAAATTTGACCGACAAATAAGTAAATAAATAAATGTAGCTATAAAAGGTAACCAATGTGTTTTCTCATTACTTGTAACGTTGCTCAAATGACGTGACATCGATTTAATTTAATTTAATTTAATTTAATTTAATTATTTCAGGTCACAACCTCTTCCATCTTTTATGCCGTTCTCAGCCAAGGAAGCCGTAACAAATACGTTTTCTGAATATTTTGAGGATTGCAAATGTGTAACGTTACGATGAAATGAAACGAAATGAAAAATTAAATTAAGGCACAACTTTTGCAATTCCTTACAACCCTCCTTAGCCAGATGGAAAGCACGAAGGGCAGATTCAACTACCCCTACGTTGAAAAGCCCACCATAGGGTGTGGGGTCTCCTATGAAGATGCTGTGCAGGAATGTCACAAAACTGAGTTTAAGAAAGAGTGCAGAGAAGAGCAACAAAGAGGATTAGAGGTCTGGAGGCTAAAACATACGAGGAACGGTTGCTGGAATTGGGTATGTCTAGTTTAATGAAGAGAAGGACGAGGGGGGACATGATAGCAGCCTTCCAGTATCTGAGGGGCTGCCCCAAAGAAGAGGGAGTCAAGCTCTTCTCCAAAGTGCCTGAAGGCAGGAGAAGAAGCAACGGATGGAAACTAACCAAGGAGAGAAGCAACCTGGAACTAAGGAGAAACTTCCTGACAGTGAGGACAATTAACCAGTGGAACCACCTGCCTCTAGAAGCGGTGAATGCTCCAACACTGGAAGTTTTTAAGAAGAGACTGGACAGCCATTTCTCCAAAACGGTATAGGGTTTCCTGCCTGAGCAGGGGGTTGGACTAGATGACCTCCAAGATCCCTTCCAAGTATTTGTTATTATTATTATTATTATTATTATTATTATTATTATTGATCATCGCACAGTTCAGACTGGATTTGGTATATTATTATTATTATTATTATTATTATTATTATTATTATTATTCCCCTCAAAATAGAGTTTTCCAATAGTTCTTTTATTCTTGCGTTATTTGGACAAAAAGCAAGGCAGGTGTGCAATTAATTAGCCCCTTTATATTTGTACATAAACGTCTCTAATTTGAAAGTGGTCTTACTACAATCGGTTACGGCCGACAAGGCTACTCAAGCTGTTGTACGTATTGCTGCCCAACTAGGCTACTCGTTCACCCAACACTCACGTACACTCTCAACACAGGTGATCAGGAAGACCACGGAGAAGACTTCGGCTCAGGGGAATCTCAGCCACCTACCTGGCAGAAGAGCTGGTTGTTGTCTTCTGAGACCAGGAGAAGACAGGAACACTGAGACTGGGTCTCCTCCTTCAGCTGGAAGAGAGGAAGGAGAAAGATGGAGAGATTTCCACAACTCTGAGGAGAAGAAGGCCCACGTAGGGTGGGGTAAGCCTGTTCTGAACTGCAACAAAGGAATGGAATGGAATAGAATAGAATAGAATAGAATAGAATAGAATAGAATAGAATAGAATAGAATAGAATAGAATAGAATAGAATAGAAATATAGAATAGAATAGAATGTAGAGTAGAGTAGAGTAGAGTAGAGTAGAGTAGAGTAGAGTAGAATAACACAGAAATATAGAATAGAATAGAATAGAATGTAGAATAGAATAGAATAAGAGAATGAATAGAATAGAGTAGAATAGAATAGAAATATAGAATAGAATAGAATAGAATAGAGTAGAGTAGAGTAGAAACAGAATAGAATAGAATAGAATGGAATGGAATGGAATGGAATGGAGTGGAATGGAGTAGAGTGGAGTGTAGAGTAGAGTAGAAACATAGAATAGAATAGAATGGAATGGAATGGAATGGAGTGGAGTGGAGTGGAGTGGATTGGAGTGTAGAGTAGAGTAGAAACATAGAATAGAATAGAATAGAATAGAATAGAATAGAATAGAATAGAATAGAATAGAATAGAATAGAATGGAATAGAATAGAATGTAGAATAGAATAGAATAGAATAAGAGAATGAATAGAATAGAGTAGAATAGAATAGAAATATAGAATAGAATAGAATAGAATAGAGTAGAAACATAGAATAGAATAGAATAGAATAGAATAGAATAGAATAGAATGGAGTGGAATGGAGTAGAGTGGAGTGTAGAGTAGAGTAGAAACATAGAATAGAATAGAATAGAATAGAATAGAATAGAATAGAATAGAATAGAATAGAATAGAATAGAATGGAATGGAGTGGAGTGGAGTGGAGTGGAGTGGAGTGGAGTGGAGAGTAGAGTAGAAACATAGAATAGAATAGAATAGAATAGAATAGAATAGAATAGAATAGAATAGAAACAGAACAGAACAGAACAGAATGGAGTTGAGTGGAGTGGAGTGGAGTGGAGTGGAGAGTAGAGTAGAAACATAGAATAGAATAGAATAGAATAGAATAGAATAGAATAGAATAGAATAGAATAGAATAGAATAGAATAGAATGGAATGGAATGGGAATGGAGTGGAGTGAAGTGTAGAGTAGAAATATAGAATAGAATAGAATAGAATAGAATAGAATAGAATAGAATAGAATAGAATAGAATAGAATAGAATAGAATAGAATAGAATAGAATAGAATAGAATAGAATGGAATGGAATGGGAATGGAGTGGAGTGAAGTGTAGAGTAGAAATATAGAATAGAATAGAATAGAATAGAATAGAATAGAATAGAATAGAATAGAATAGAATAGAATAGAACGGAACGGAACGGAACAGAACAGAATAGAATACCTAGAGTTGGAAGGGACCTTGGAGGTCTTCTAGTCCAACCCCCCCGCTCAGGCAGGAAATACCCCTGATCTAGGCACATCCTGGGGAGATCAATACTTGGAAAATGCGAATTACTCACGTAATTAATGACTTTAAGCTGGAGGGAGGCTGCATCCAGATCGTACAGTTCCCCTGAAAGGCAACAGATGCGGAGTTTGTGGATTGAACGACTGGATCGACAAAGCTACACTTGCTACGCAATGGCGGGTGGTGCACCTCACAGCCGTGCGAAACAAGAAATGAAGTGCTCAGCCATGTCCACACGCAAGAACAGGTCCCTTCCCTACAACAGACCAAATTACACAACGCAGCAAACACAGATATAGGTGTTCCTCGACGTACGACCAGTACTGAGCCCAAAATGTCCGCTGCTAAGCGAGACGGTTGTTAAGGGAGCTTTGCCCCATTGGCGGACCTTTCTCACCGTGGTTGTTAAGTGAATCACTGCCGTTGATAAGTCGTTAACACGATTGTTAAATGACTTTGCTTGTCAAGAGGTCGCAGAAGGAGATCACGTGACCCCCCCCCAGGACATTGCAACTGTCACAATTACATGCCAGTCGCCAAGCCACCGAATTTTGATCACATGACCACGGGGATGGCTGCGACGGTCGTGAGTGTGAAAAACGGTCACAAGCCACCTTTTTCAGCGCCGTTGTAACTCTGAATGACTTCCGGTTTGCCGCCGTGGCCGCCGCGGACGTTTGGAAGGCGAGCTCCGTCTTCCACGTCCGATTCCGCATCGCTGGGGGACCCTCTGGAAAGGGGCGAAAGTCGCCCTGTAGGAGCGACCAGCAAAGAGGGGATCCCCGCTTGATCACGGGAGGGTGGTAGCCCTTCCGTTCGATCTGGCGCAGCCCTCCAAGCCACCAAGCCTTCAAATTTTGATCACGTGACTGTGGGGATGGCTGCGACGGTCGTAAGTGGGAAAAACGGTCACTTTTTTCAGCGTCGTTGTAACTTTGAATGATGGCTAAACCAACGGTTATAAGTCAGGGACTCCCTCTATACAAAATTGCTTCACGATTGTCTCTCCTGCCTGATAAACCTGGGGAATGGTCAATGACCCTTACCGCACAACTGCAGGATCTTGCTGTCCAGCTCGCTGTAGTTGCTCCTGGGGGGCTCCACCGGTTTCGCCTGGCAAGGTTGTAACTTCTGAAGGCTTTGGAGACGCTTGTAGGAGACCAGGATCTGCAAGGAACCACGTTCAGAAAGGAAGACGTCACTCCTGTTTTAAAACAACCCGGTCTAAGCTAAAGGATGGGTTGAAGAACTCGTTGGCAGAGGAGGAAGCCCTACTTGGCTACATTCACACAACTCTTGAGTATCTAGGTATACGTTATTCCCCACAGCAAAGAGAAGCAGAAAGGTTTAAAGAGATTCTTTTATCCAAAGGAGAGGATATCGTGGGTACTTCCATCACTGGAGATTTTTAAGAAGAGACTGGACATCCACCTGTCTGAGACGGTATATAGGTTCTCCTGCTTGAGGAGGGGGCTGGACTAGAAGACCTCCAAGGTCCCTTCCAGCTCTGTTCTATTCTATTCTATTCTATTCTATTCTATTCTATTCTATTCTATTCTATTCTATTCTGCATTCTATTCTATTCTATTTTCTATTCTATTAATAATAATAATAAAGTAGGAAGGGACTTTGGAGGGGGCTCAGGCAGGAAACCCTATACCATTTCTGACAAATGGCTGTCCATTCTCTTCTTAAAATGTCCAGTGTTGGAGCATTCACTGCTTCTGGAGACAGGTTGTTCCACTGGTTAATTGTTCTAACTGTCAGGAAGTTTCTCCTTAATTCCAGGTTGCTTCTCTCCTTGATGAGTTTCCATCTGTTGCTTCTTGTCCTGCATTCTATTCTATTCTATTCTATTCTATTCTATTCTATTCTACTCTGTATTTCTATTTCTATTTCTATTCTATATTCTATTCTATTCTATTCCATTCTATTCTGTATTTCTATTTCTATTTCTATTTCTATTCTATTCTATTCTATTCTATTCTATTTTATTCTATTCTATTCTATTCTATTCTATTCTATTCTATTCTATTCTATTCTATTCTATTCTATTCTATTCTACGCTGTTTCCATTTTGAAATGGCTTCCAGATTTTGTGCTTGCAATTAAAAAAAGAAAAGAAATCTCGATTTCATTTTTGCTAATTAGCTAGGTTTATTGTTATGGAAATGGTTTGTACATACTATTGTGTAAGAATAAAAAGTTGCAATTGTAATGCTGTCATCTTCCACTGTGCTAAAGAGCGTCTAAAGTTGGTGCTTTTTTCCGTTCTTTCTCCTCTTTACACAATCTCGTTTTCTATTCCTTTTTTTGAATTTCTCTTTGGATTTTATATTTTGATAAGCTAATAAAACTGTTAATAATAATAATAATGAAAAACACTTGAGTACCTAATTCACCCCCTTGTCTGGGTTTCCCACAAGGCTGCGTTTGCCTGGGAACTCCAACCTAACTCCAGGTTGCAACGTTGTGTAACTTCAGAGTTTTACCAATCCTGGTTAAGCGTCCTGTGTGAATACAACTGGGGGGGACGCTTGATGTGGACAGAAGCAAGCCCTCAAAAGTTAGAACTTATTATCTTATTTAGGACCGCAACTGAGCCTAAATTTTTTCTGGTTAAGCCAGACAGTTGTTAAGTGGGTTTTGCTCCATTTTGCAACCTTTAGGGTCACGCCGTTCTTAAGTGCATCACTGCAGTTGGGAAATTTGTAATAAGTGAATGTGTTAAGTGAATCTGTGACTTGGCTTGTCAGAAAGTTCCCAAAGGGGATCACGTGACCCAGGGGATGCTGCGACCATCATAAGTACGAGTCAGTTGCCAAATGTCCAGATTTTTAATCACGTGACGGTAGGGAATGCTGCAGGAGTCCTACGTGCGAAAAATGGTCATAAGTCACTTTTTCCAGCGACGTGGTAATTTCACACGGTCACTAAATCAGTGGTTCTCAGCCTGTGGGTCGGGACCCCATTTGGGGTCGAACGACCATTTCACGGGGGTCGCCAAACAACGCAGTCCGCCATTTTTTCCCCCTTTTCCTTAGCTCTGCTCCTCCCTTTTATTCTATTGGCTTTTGAAAGCCAATAGAATAGACTCTCTTGAATAGAGTTTAATTCTATTGGCTTTCAAAAGCCAACAGGAATTGTCCAGGCTGTCTCTGCCCTGCTGAACCCGCCAAAAGTCCCATTCTGCAAATGGTGCTGCACCAGTTGAGTAGTCCTCGACTTACGACCGGTTGAGTAGTCCTCGACTTACGACCGGTTGGGGGTCGCGGCATTAAAAAGGTTGAGAACCACTGCCCTAAGGGTTTTATGAAAGGGGGCTTCACTTACGTGCTTTTCCAAAGCTCGAAGGTTTTGCTCGTCCGACTCGGAAAGCTGACCGCAGGAGACCTGGGGTAGTAGAAGTAAAGGAATCAAAAGAGGAACGGACACACTCAGAGCATGCACAGAAGGGCGAGTGGAAATTAATAAAATAAAACATTGTAGTCAGAGCTTCCTATAAGGTAGTGGTTCTCAACCTCGGCCACTTGAAGATGGCTGGGCTTGTCTATGGAGGTTCTCCGTCATCCAGGTCCTGGTTGTCCCAAAAGTGCTTTTTTTTTTTCCCCAGGAGGCCACTGGACTTTCTTGTTTTTTCCTTTGAAAACGTTTCGCTTCTCATCCCAAGAAGCTTCTTCAGGTTCTGACTGGAGGGTGGGGAATGGAAGGATTTATATTCCTTGCAGACAGCTGGTCATTTGCATCCTTTTAAGAGGGTCATTGAGGCCACTTGGAGGATTATCTGTGTCCTCGGGTGGGCTCAGCAACCCTCTAAAACAGGAGTAGGCCACCTTGGCTCTTTTATGACTTGTGGACTTCAACTCCCAGAATTCCTGAGCCAGCCATGCTGAGAGGAAAGGGAGAGGTTTCCAAGCTGAGCCAGGCTGGCTCAGGAATTCTGGGAGTTGAAGTCCCCGAATCATGAAGGGGCCACAGTTCCCCCATGCTGCTCAGGAATTCTGGGAGTTGAAGTCCACCAGTCATGAAGGGGCCACAGTTCCCCCATGCTGGCTCAGGAATTCTGGGAGTTGAAGTCCGTGAGTCATGAGGGAGCCATATTTTCCCCATGCTGGCTCAGGAATTCTGGGAGTTGAAGTCCGCGAGTCATCAAGGGGCCATAGTTTCCCCATCCTGGCTCAGGAATTCTGGGAGTTGAAGTCCACGAGTCATGAAGGGGCCATAGTTCCCTCATGCTGGCTCAGGAATTCTGGGAGTTGAAGTCCACGAGTCATGAAGGGGCCATAGTTCCCCCATGCTGGCTCAGGAATTCTGGGAGTTGAAGTCCATGAGTCAAGAAGGGGCCATAGTTCCCCCCATGCTGGCTCAGGAATTCTGGGAATTGAAGTCCACAAGTCTTAAAGTTGCCAAGGTTGAGGACCCCAGATATAGGGCAGGGGTAGGCAATCTTGGCTCTTTTATGACTCGTGGACTTCAACTCCCAGAATCGAACTCAAACAGCTTTGTCAAAAAGCAAACCAACAGCCAGGGCAAAAGACTTAAGGAGAAAAAAAATCAAAGATCAATCAGAAACCCTGCCGTGGATGGTATCGTAACAGTGATCCATTGATCAATAAGCATCAATAATTCAGAAAAAAAAAATAATCGATCGAAGCTCCAGTGTGCCTTAAGGAACTTGGTTAAAAATGGATCTTGGCTGCCTCCATACAGCGTTTTCTTACCCATAAAACCCAAGGAAGATAAAAAAGAGAAAAAACTCGGTGTAGAAACAAACAAAGAATTATGTTCTGTGTTTCGTCCGCCCAACATCTTTTCTCCCTGGTGTCCTCCACAGCTCTCTTCGGATGTAACCTGGATGCACAACTACTATTGCTAGAGGGACAGGCAAAAGCTGGCGTGGGCAACAAGGGTGACTTTACAACTTGTGGACTTGAACTTCCAGAATTCCTGAGGCAGCCATGTTGGCTGCCTCAGGAATTCTGGGAGTTGAAATCCACAGGTCATAAAGGGCTGGGCAGAACATCATGCAATTGGTTGAGGCTTCTTCTCCTCAGAGAGAGGGTCAAAGAAATCAAAATGGTGGCTGTAACACATTAAAAAAAGGGCAGTCGGCTTTTGATTTCCAAATGATTTTGGCTGCCATCTTGACTCTTTTGCCCTCTCTGCCTCACAAACACATTAGGAAGATGATATTATCCTTCACAAACTCGGTTTTCGAGGGCTTTTTTCTCCAGATACTCACTAGGATCACGCACACCACGACTCCCGAATCCTTGTCCACCAAAGGATTGATTAACACTGCAAAAAAAAGGGGGGTGTAAAGAGGAAGAATGAAAATAAATTAGCCCAAAAGGAGAAGAATAGCATAGAAATAGAATAGAATAGAAATAAGAATAGAATAGAATAGAATAGAACAGAACAGAATAGAATAAAATTACAGAATGGAAATACAGAACAGAATAGAATAGAAATAAAGAACAGAATAGAATAGAACAGAATGGAACAAAACAGAACAGAACAGAATAGAAAATAGAAAATATAGAACAGAACAGAACAGAATAGAATAAGAAATGGAACAGAATAGAACAGAACAGAATGGAATAGAAATACAGAATAGAAGAGAATAGAAATACAGAAAAGAAGAGAATAGAGTAGAATAGAATGGAATGGAATGGAAGAGAAGAGAAGAGAAATACAGAATAGAAGAGAAGATAATGGAATGGAATAGAATAGAATAACAGAATGGAAATACAGAATAGAATAGAACAGAATAGAATAGGGAATAGAATATATGGGATAGGATAGGATAATAACTTTATTGTCACTTCGAATGTACACTCATCGGCATACATTAAAACAAAATTTCACTACCTTCAGCTCTCAAAGGGTCACCACTGACATTGTTCGGTTCTAGGCAACTAAGGGCTAACACTGTCAACTTACATCATAGTCCCTGATTTATGACCACAGTTGAGGGCCAGAAATTCCATTGCTAAGCGAGCCAATGGCTAAGCGAGACGTGCACAGTTTTACGAACTTTTTTTGCTGCGGTTGTTAAGTGAACCCTTCGTCGCTCTCTTACCTTGCTTGCCGGGGGCTAAGGGGGCAGCCAAGCCGGCCACCGGCTTGCCCTGCAGCTCGCCCGCCGGCAGCCCATTGCAGGCCACCCTCTTCTGCTGAAGGACAGCATCTCTGGAAGGACAAAAGCGGATTCATCAACCAAACAGAAGCAAAAGGAGAATAATCAGGAAGGTAATCCCAATTCAATCCCTCGATTCCCCACTGGGAAGAACAGCCGAGATGAATGGCTTAAGGGAAACCGTCCAAGAAAAAACTGCCAGTTGGGTTTTGGGAGAGGAGACCACTAGGTGATCCCACACTCGGAAGCTGGAAGAAGAAATAGAGTCCATTTATTAGGTCTACACAAGCCAAGCACCACACAAGGCTTGATCTTAGACAAATCACAGCCCTAAGTAAGAAAGGCAGCAAGCTGCAGCAGCAATTCCAGGTGAGAGACAATCTGATCTAGTGGTTAAAGGCAACAGGCTAGAAACAAATGAGTTCTAGTCCTGCCTTAGGCATGAAAGCAGCTGGGTGACTTTAGGCCAATCACCAGGAGACGGTGAGTTCTAGTCCCGCCTTAGGCATGAAAGCCGGCTGGGTGACTTTGGGCCAATCATCAGGAGATGGGGAGTTCTAGTCCCGCCTTAGGCATGAAAGCCGGCTGGGTGACTTTGGGCCAATCACCAGGAGATGGGGAGTTCTAGTCCCGCCTTAGGCATGAAAGCCGGCGGGGTGACTTTGGGCCAATCACCAGGAGACGGTGAGTTCTAGTCCCGCCTTAGGCATGAAAGCCGGCTGGGTGACTTTGGGCCAATCACCAGGAGACGGTGAGTTCTAGTCCCGCCTTAGGCATGAAAGCAGGCGGGGTGACTTTGAGCCAATCACCAGGAGACGGTGAGTTCTAGTCCCGCCTTAGGCATGAAAGCCGGCAGGGTGACTTTGGGCCAATCACCAGGAGACGGGGAGTTCTAGTCCCGCCTTAGGCACGAAAGCAGACTGGGTGACTTTGGGCCAATTACCAGGAGACGGTGAGTTCTAGTTCTGCCTTAGGTTGAAATCTGAACTGGGGGACTTTGGCCAGTCCCTCCCTCTCAGCCCAACCCACAAAGTTGTTGTGGGAAAATGTCCCTAGAGCACAGTTCAGAAACACATCTGAAAAGAGGCAATCTTTCCATCCCACTCTTGTATCTGCCATCTTGACTTTTTAGACCTCCTCCCTGCCAGCTGGGTGACCAGCTGCTCTTCCTGCCTTCATCCCCCATTCTCCAACTGAACTGGTCATTTCTTTCCTCTTGAGCTGGTCTCCTTCCCTTCTCCCTCACCTGAGCACCTGTCTGCGCCTTCACCCGAAAGAGGTAAACCTTTTATCCCTCGATCTGGATTGGAACTCGGTTCCTTGAAATCACGAAATCCGACGAGTCAAGCCGAAGGATTATGGACTTCCCTTCCTTCCCTCTCATTCTGGAGGTTTGTTTTTCTCCCCAGTGAATTGTCTAGCTGCTCGTGAGAGCTTCTTGTTTTTGTGTGCGTGTTTGTGCGTGCACGTCTGTGTTGCTTTCATCCCAATAGATGAAAAGCACCAGCTCCTACGGGGGGGGGGGTTCCCTGCCTTTGGCCACGCACCCCAGCGGGGGACCCATCTCTCATTCGTTCTCAATCTGCTCTGCTGCCTTCACAGTTGTGGGGAGATAAATTTGGCTCTGATAAGTGAATGGAACAAATCACTGAAGTTGGACAGGGTTCAAGAGCCAGAGAGAGAGAGAGAAGACAGAGAGAGAGAGAAAGAAGAGAGAGAGAAAGAAAGAAAGAGAGAGAGAGAGAGAGAGAAGAGAAGAGAAAGAAGAGAGGAGAGAAAGAGAGGAGAGAGAAAGAAGAGAGAGCAGAGAGAGAGAAGAGAAAGAACAGAGAGAGAGAGAAAAGAGAGAGAAAGAGAGAAAGAGCGAGAGAGAGAGAAAGAAAGAGAGAGAGAAGAGAGAGAGGAGAAAGAAGAGAAAGAAGAGAGAGGAGAAAGAGAAAGAGAGAGAAGAGAAAGAAGAGAAGAGAGAGAGAAGAGAAAGAAGAGAGAGGAGAAAGAGAGAAGAGAAAGAAGAGAAAGAAGAGAGGAGAGAAAGAAAAAGAGAGGGAGAAAAAGAGAAAGAGAGAAGAGAGAGAGAAGAAGAGAAAGAAGAGAGGAAGAAAGAGAGAGAGAAAGAAAGAGAGGAGAAAGAAGAGAGGAGAGAGAGAGTAGAGAGAGAGGAAAAAGAAGAGAAAGAAGAGAGGAGAGAGAGAAGAGAAAGAAGAGAGAGGAGAAAGAGAGAGAAGAGAAAGAAGAGAAAGAAGAGAAAGAAGAGAGGAGAGAGAGAAGAGAAAGAAGAGAAAGAAGAGAGAGGAGAAAGAGAGAAGAGAAAGAAGTGAAAGAAGAGAGGAGAGAAAGAAAAAGAGAGGGAGAAAAAGAGAAAGAAAGAGAGAGAGAAGAGAGAGAGAAGAAGAGAAAGAAGAGAGGAAGAAAGAGAGAGAGAAAGAAAGAAAGAGAGAGAGGAGAAAGAAGGGAGGAGAGAGAGAGAAAGAGAGAGTAGAGAGAGAGGAAAAAGAAGAGAAAGAAGAGAGGAGAGAGAAAGAGTGAGAAGAGAGAGAGAGAAGAGAGAGAGAGGGTGTGTGTGTGTGTGTGTGTGTGTGTGTGTGTGTGTGCCTGGCTGAGGAATTCTGGGAGTTGAAGTCCACAAGTCATCAAAGGGCCCAGTTTGAAGACTCCTGTCCTAGATGAAGAGCTTGTTAAAAAATCTGTTGTTAGGATTTACGGCCAGAGTCCATTTGGCATTTTAGAGGTTTTTATAACGAAGCACTAAAGCTACTAATCAGATCCAGCCCATTTGCATTTTGGGGAGAAGAGCTTTACAGATGGACATTGAGAATGGAAAAGACCTTGGAGGATTCTGGGCAGGAATCCACCACTTGGATAGCTCCAAATACTGTTTAACACCCTCCATCAAACGTGACCCCAATCTAAGGGAATATATGCAGTCCAGGGTTGAAGAGACTCCTTCAGCACAGAATACATGGACAGACTCATCCACAGCTTCAGCTGGAAGCTGTGAGCATCCTACACCGAGCCAAATCCCCAAAATTTACATTTCCGGGCTGAAACAAATGGCCCTTGTAATTCTAGTTTTCATAAAAATATCTCAGGGGCTGCCCCAAAGAAGAGGGAGTCAAGCCATTCTCCAAGGCGCCTGAAGGCAGGACAAGAAGCAACGGATGGAAACTCATCAAGGAGAGAAGCAACCTAGAACTAAGGAGAAACTTCCTGACAGTGAGAACAATTAATCAGTGGAACCACCTGCCTCCAGAAGCGGTGAATGCTCCAACACTGGAAGTCTTTAAGAAGAGACTGGACAGCCATTTGTCTGAAATGGTGTAGGGTTGATTAGTTTCCATCCGTTGCTTCTTGTCCTGCCTTCAGGTGCTCTGGAGAATAGCTTGATTCCCTCTTCTTTGGGGCAACCCCTGAGATACTGGGAGACTGCTCTCCTTTCATCCCTCATCCTTCTCTTCGTTAAACTAAACAGACCCAATTCCAGCAACCGTTCCTCGTATGTTTCAGCCTCCAGTCCCCTGATCCTCTTTGTTGCTCTTCTCTGCACTCTTTCCAGAGTCTCAACATCTTGTTTACATCCTGGCGACCAAAACTGGATGCCGGATTCCAAGTGCGGCCTTACCGAGGCATTGGTAAGTGGCATCCACACTTCACCTGATCTTAATCTAAAAGCTTTAGGAAGAAGTAGGGCACCTTCTCCATTTTAATCTTCCCAAGGCTGGTGGACAGAGAGAGGCGGTGGAAAGAAGGAACATGTTATCTTTGGGTCATCTCCGCCCATCTTTAACCATCGCGCCCGCCTTTTGTCAATGATGGAGTAGTGCAGCCGAGAAAAGAGATGAATTTGTAGCTCTTGAGGTCATTAAGCGCCAGACTAACATCCTGGGCATGATGGATGTCACTGTCCCAGAGATCTATTCCTTCATCAGCCTCTGAACGGAAAGCCGATTAAAGTTTGCACCTCTCCAGACACGTCGCTGGATGCAGGACGACATAAGTCATCGGATTAATTTGCAAGTTGCACAGATATTTCTTCACAGCTGCCTGCTGTCCTTCCAGCCCTTGTTTATCAAAACTGTCCAGGGAACAATTCAAGAGCATCATCATCTTCTTCTTCTTCTTCTTCTTCTTCTTCTTCTTCTTCTTCTTCTTCTTCTTCTTCTTCTTCTTCTTCTTCTTCTTCTTCTTCTCCTTCTTCTCCTCCTTCTCCTCTCTTCTTCTTCTTCTTCTTCTTCTTCTTCTTCTTCTTCTTCTTCTTCTTCTTCTTCTTCTTCTTCTTCTTCTTCTTCTTCTTCTTCTTCTTCTTCTTCTTCTTCTTCTTCTTCTTCTTCTTCTTCTTCTTCTTCTTCTTCTTCTTCTTCTTCTTCTTCTTCTTCTTCTTCTTCTCCTCTCCTCCTCTCCTTCTTCTTCTTCTTCTTCTTCTTCTTCTTCTTCTTCTTCTTCTTCTTCTTCTTCTTCTTCTTCTTCTTCTTCTTCTCCTCCTCTCTTCTTCTTCTTCTTTTCCTCTCCCTCCTCCTCCTTCTCCTCCTCCTTCTTCCCTCCTCCTCCTCCTTCTTCTCCTTTTCCTTCTCCTCCTTCTCCTTCTTCTTCTCCTTCTCCTCCTCCTTCTTCTCCTTTTCCCTCTCCTCCTCCTTTTCCTTCTCCTTCTTCTTCTCCTTTTCCTTCTCCTCCTTCTCCTCCTCCTTCTTCCCTCCTCCTCCTTCTCCTTCTTCTCCTTCTTCTCCTTTTCCTTCTCCTCCTTCTCCTCCTTCTTCCCTCCTCCTCCTTCTTCTCCTCCTTCTCCTTCTTCTTCTCCTTTTCCTTCTCCTCCTTCTCCTCCTTTTCCTTCTCCTCCTTCTCCTTCTTCTCCTCCTTCTCCTCTTTCTCCTTCTCCTTCTTCTTCTCCCCCCATCTCCTCCTTCTTTTCCTCCTCCTCTTCCTCCTCCTCCTCCTCATTCTTCTTCTTCCTTCTTCCTTTTTCTTCTGAAAATGCAGCTCCACTGGGAGATTTAATTTAATTAACACAGAGTTACCAAGCACAGAGAGTACCACGGACCCCATCAATGTAACTTTTGAG